TAGATGATCACATCTTATAACACTCGTTCATTTCCACTTTGGCATCCAAGACCACTCATGTTCTGCATGTGTATGATAAAGCTTCCATCTGTTGTGGTCGGTCAACTAATATGGAGATCACACCTCCCTGGCAAGATGGTAACTCTTCTTTAGCAACCTGTTACTTTGAGTTTACAAGCTTTTCTACTATGAACAGATCATCGGAAAAACGCAAACCTACCAACACTGGTTTCCCAAAATCCCCCCAAAGTGAATGTTTAAAGTTATGACATGGGAGAAATTATCCAATGATGACACTAAACTTGTTGTAGCCCTACCTGTGTATGGTGGCTATTATGTTAGGGTCCTTTGGTATCACCCTGCAAAAACTCTTTGAGCTGTCTATCTAGAACCAAAATGTTAGTGAAGGGTAATGTCTGTGTGCCCCTTAGAAAAATGTACCCTCTCTATTGATATTGGGAAACCCTGTCCCCAGTCATTCAAAAATCTAAATTTTGAGCTATCAACAGAGCAGGAATATTTCAATGAGAACTCCTATTCTGGTAACAACGAGCTTTCCCTTTCTTTGGAGAGATTTCTTGGTTTTTATTGTGTCTAAAAGACGTGAAATTAAGGAAAATCTACAAAGATCTAAAAGACATGACTGTGGTTTTAACTTTCCTTACTCTATATAAAAAGAAAAATAATTTTGGCTGTAATGCTGTACTTCAACTTATACCACTCATTTGGCTTCCATTTTTGGCTATGGAGTGAATAAAAAAGTCTAAAATATTTTAATATATGTAAAACCCCTTCTGAGGTTTTATATCAATTTTGCATCATTCATTAGATTGGGAACTCATACCTGCCAAAGTGTCCCTTGATGATAAGTTAATATATTGCTAATGCTTTTAGTACATCCTTTGTAGCAAAAATTAGTTGGAAAGTGAAAGTTAAGGCATATTGCACATTTTTTTTAACTCTTGGCTTGTTAACATCACATTTAATAGACATTTAAAGAGACTCTTTCACCAGACTATTCATTTAAATAATATTCCGATTAGATTGTATATCTGCATTTTTTATTTTTGTTATTTACTTTTTATTAACTTTTAAAGAGTTTACAACAAATAGAGTTGCATAGAATTGTGAAATAAAAATCACAAGACAATGAAAGAACAAAGAAACAGGCTCATCGAGGAGAGGCATATAGGTACATACAATGTCATTGCATAACGGTGAATTAGCCATCATTTTCAGACAATTGAGTAGGCAAATTGGAAACGAAAAGATCCCACGGTTCCCAAACTGCTTAAAAATGTTGACAGAATTGGCATGCAAGGCAGTAAGGTACTCCATTCTGCTATAACCTTCACCAATTCCGAACGGGTAGGAGGCGTAGTAGAAACCCAATGCATGGGAATGGTTCTCCTGGCCGCTGTTAAAACATGGGAGGATAGTTTCCTGGCACATTTGGAGAGGCCTGGAAAAGGTAGGCCCAGAAAAAAGTGGATAGGCTCAAAAGAAATAGGAGCCTGTAAAAGTAGCTGCAAAAGATTAAGGACCTCTCTCCAAAAGAGTGCAAAGTGTTGGCAAGCCCAGAAGATATAGAAGAGAGTTCCAGCAGACAGGAGAAACACTCGGATTGCGAGTATGGAGAACCTCAGGGGTCTTATACCAAAACATCAGTATTTTATAAGTGTTTTCTTTGTATACTACACAAATAGAAGATCTGGAGGTAGCCTCCCACTGATCCAAAGAAATATCACATTGGAGGATTTGGGGCCATTTGTGCATAGAAAGGTGTGTGTCAATGGAAAGGGGCAGGCGTCTTGAAGCAGCTTGTAAGTAGATGAAATTATGCCCCTTTGATAAGGACCCTGAATGCAGATGTGTTTGACGAGAGTAGGCTTCTCAAGGGTTAAAGATGGTATCAGGGATCACCGTGGCGCTGGTCCCGGCGCAGGCGCAGAGAGCCGCCATGTGCAGGGATGCGGGCACTAGGTCTGGGCGGGCCGCGGCATCCGAACTCGCGCATGCGCACTAGAGGCCGCAGTCGCGCGCCTGGCACCAATGACAGCGCAGGGCGCGATATTTAAACAGCCCTGAACTGTCATTGAGTGCCGTCTGGTCTTTCCTGCATTCCTGTTACCTGTGATCCTGTACCCTGATTGTTGCTGACCCGGATTGTCCTTGACCATGCTGTATTCTCCTGCTCTGACCCTTGGCTTGCCTGACCTCTCTCCTGGATGCCCCCTATTGGATCTGATCTGCTGTTGCTGACCTGGCGTGTGACCCGACTATTCTCTGCCCGCTGCTTGTCCGGCTGCCCGGCTTGTCTGACCTCGCACCTGCTCAGCCATCCATCCATCCCATCGTGGTCACCCGACCTCCTCATATCAGGCTCTCCCCTGTGGGAGCCCCTGGCGAACACCCCTACCACTGGTGGGTGTACCCAGTAGTCACGACCTGGTCTCAGAGCGCTCCAAGTCCATCCCCACCATCAGGGGCCCTGGTGAACAAGTGCTCTGGGGCTTAGATTCCGTACTCTGGGGGCACCTGACCTGTGGAGTGCTAGTGGTACCGCCAGGCGGTCCGTTACAGATGGTGCTTTGGAGGTGAAAAAGTAGCTTATTTGTAGATAAACATACTACTGGTGAGAAGACATATGAGCCGCTTTTTGAATCTCAGAAAAGGATTTAAACTTACGAGTCACTGGGTGGACCAAGTGTCGCAATTGAAATAGATCGGCCTTGGCCCAGGGATGCACACGAGCCAAAGCCAAACTATCAGGGAGACTGGGAATAAATAGGACATTGGTCATGTATCTGCATTTAAAGTATTTTATGCATGTTATGTACCTGTTAAAGAATTCCTTGTGTTAGACATCCAAAAGCCCTGAGGCTGCTACTGGGTGCCGCCATCTTGGATGGGATGTCCTGTGCCCCAGCAGACTCAAAGCTGTCACTCAAGTGACACCCTATAGCCCTGGTGCCTACCCTATGGCCTGAGGGCCCTTTGGTATATGTTATGTGGTCCTTGGACCTCAGCAGTCTGTAATGGGAACATTGATTAGGATAATAGCATTGATCTCTACCATCCTCATGTAACATGTTCCTAGTTTCGTATTGTCTTCTGCAACATATTTCCAGCCAAAAATGTGTGCATGTCCACACTCTCTGACCATCATTTCCTCTACAGTTTGTGACAATCCTCTCAAGCATTGCATGCACTCACTAGCCACTTTATTAGGTACAGCTGTTCAATTGCTTGGTAATCCAAATTGCTAAACGGCCAATCACATGGCAATAACTCAATGCATTTAGGCATCTAGATGTGGTGAAGACGACTTTCTGAAGTTCAAACCAAGCATCAGAATGGGGAATAAAGGGGATTTAAGTGACTTAGAACGTGGCATGGTTGTTGGTGCTATACGGGGGCTGGTTTGAGTATTTCAAAAATTGCTGATCTACTGGGATTTTCCTGTAATCTCTAGGATTTACATGGTCCGAAAAAGAGAAAATATCCAGTGAGCGGCAGTTGTGTGAAGGAAAATGTCTTGTTGATGTCAGGGGTCAGAGGAGAATGGGCAGACTGGTTCCAGAAGATAGAAAGGCAACAGTAACTCATGCCAGTATGGACCAATATGTCTAAGGAATGTTTCGAGCACCTTGTTGAATCTATGCCATGAAGAATTAAGGCAGTTCTGAGGCAAAAGGGGATCCAACCCGGTACTAGCAAGGTGTACCTAATAAAGTGGCCAGTGAGTGTACATTGAACATTATGTGTGGCCTAGTAATGACAGGGGCTGCATTTGAGGCCCCCATTTTGGCTCGCAAGTTGACAACCACTGCCCTGTTGTATTTTTCTTTGCTGCTCACTGGCAGCTTTGCAATCATTTATGGAAAAGGAGAAACTCTGCAACTAAGTATTGAAAATACTTGATTTTTCTGTACCTGGGTCACTTTAACATGCTGTAACACACATTACCTAAACATTTCATAAACCATTTCATATTTCAGCCCAGAAGCCTACTAAAGCATGATAAATGCCAATTAAAAGTCTGCCAAATGCTTTTTCTAAAGCTACAGGCAGCACTCCTGTTATCATCAGAACTCAGAAATCAGAACTCGGAAGCCTTCAGTTAATCCCCTTGATCATAAAAGCTTTGTAAATGTTTGTTAAAACTCTTGTTTGAAGCTAATATAACTCTATGTTCCTAGCCTTTTTGTGGCCCTATGTCCAATCAATTGCCTCCACTGTAGTAAATTTAATCAGAAAAGATGCAGAAAATGCAGAATCAGAATTTCATTTTGGTGGGGGAAGGGGTTGGCAACTCTAATGGACAATGGCAACCTAAAAGATTCTCATGGTCTCTTATTTCAACACTGTTTCCTCTACTCATTTGCTACATTTTGCAATTAGCCAATTTGGATTTCCAAACTTTATTCCTTTGCAGATAATACTCAGAACTATCCTAGCTCTCTTGCTTCCCAACATGTACTTTGGTTAAAACAGAACTTGTCATTTTCCACCATCTAAATATGCTATCTATCCTGAGATCTCCAATAGCCTTAGGGTCCCTAAGATCTTTGCTTTGGGGGTTCCCTTTGATCCTACTCCTACATTTATACCTCATAATCACTCGCTCACCACCTCCTGTTGTCTTCATGGCCAAAATACCATTGCATGATCTTCTTCTAAAAGTATGGAGGATTGCTAACTTTCCTTGGCCAAATATTGAACATGCCTTCATACAACATAAGTAGGACACAATGTTTTTTTTCCCATAGATCTCAGGAGTGTATTTGCACACTGCATATCAAATCACAATGTATGCAGTTGGTGACTTTTTTTGTGTGTGTTTTCCTTGAGCGGAGTGACAGCCCTGAGTACACTTCCAGGAAGCCATACTCAGACCAAGATGGCGGCAGCCAAAACTGAAACTCCCTGGTCTTGGGTGATGGCCTCTTGTTTTTGCCTGCTATCATTAATGATACCTTTTATAATAATACATTTCTTTATTTTGCAGTGCCAGAGCAGAGGTGAAACTTGGTCGCTCGGAAAGCCTGAAGGGCCGTGAGGAACTGAAGAAATCCCGCAAAGCTGACAATGTTCCCCGCTCCCGCAGTGATGTGGACATGGATGCGGCTGCAGAGGCCACCCGATTACATCAATCTGCATCATCCTCAGCTTCCAGCCTGTCCACAAGGTTTGTGTTGCCTTTATTGGCTTTCAGAGTATTTTACACACCTAGCCTTCACTGGTGCAAATCAAAAGAACATGCTAAAGCTCTCATAAATGTATTACAACACATTTTTGTGGACCAAAGACGAATTCTCCTGCGCTCTAGGACTCAGACAGGTGGCGAATAGATGGAACCAGGCCTGGAGAAATCGCTCGCCAATGCATAAAGGGCTGTGCGGCTCCAAAACAAGGCTGGGGAAGCCATTTTTGTGGACACCTGACCATCAAACCTATGCAAGTGTGTTTAACATCCCATTCCAAAACTATAGACATTAGTATGGAGATGACCAGCCCTTTGTTGCTATATTAGCCTCTACTCTTTCAAGAAAGATTTAACAAGAATTTGGAATAAGAATTTGTACTCATTAAGAAAAAAACGTATTTTACAGGTTAGGTAATGATGCTAAATGAGGAGACCTGGTTTGCAATTGGCTTTCCCATTCATCTCAAGGTTTTCAGTAGCTTTGTGGTCTGGGCTGATGGAGACCACCCAGTTCCTTTACACCAAACTCTTCAAACTATGTCTTTATGAAGCTTGCTCTGTGCACAGGGGCACAGTCATGCTGGAACAGAAAAAGGTCTTCCCCAAACTATTGTTAAAGTGTTACTAAACCCAGGACCCTGCATTACTATATTTGCTCTCCCACAGTACACAAAAACAGAAATGCAATTATTTTAGTAAATATAAACTGCTAAATACCTTTTCTCACCATCAGTTAGAGCAGTCTTGTGACTTCTGTCAGTGTCTGGCTGAGCACTGGTTAAAACTCATAGGAGGAGTTTTCACTCTACTCTTGACTGTCCTATGAGGCTGCATGACCTCTGACCCTCTGTCTGGACAGTGCTGAATCGCCCTGTGCCAATCACATACACCCTCCCAAAAAAATAAAAAAAACTCTAGCAGTGCACACCAAACTGAGCATGTGCACAGTGCCTCCTAGGGCTCTGTACTATCATCAGATGGATCGGGGACTGTGAAAGAAGGGGAGGATCAGAGAAGATAGGATCAAGCAACCTTTTTACACAACGCGGAGGGTTAACCCCATAGGTTTTACAGTGAGTATAACAAGCATGCTTTACTGCATATACAGACTGATTTTACTGTTGTGGGTTTAGTAACACTTTGAGATTGGAAGTGGACACATTTCTACCCCTGAAGCAACGACTCCATCGTACCAGTAAGGTAGCAGCCCATACCTCCAAAGGGAGATCAACACCACCACTCGCCAGGACCATGGAATATCTACTGCTGAAGCAACGACTCCATCTTACCAGTAAGGTAGCAGCCCATACCTCCAAAGGGAGATCAACACCACCACTCGCCAGGACCATGGAATATCTACCGCTGAAGCAACGACTCCATCTTACCAGTAAGGTAGCAGCCCATACCTCCAAAGGGAGATCAACACCACCACTTTCCTGGACCATGGAATATCTACCGCTGAAGCAACGACTCCATCTTACCAGTAAAGTAGCAGCCCATACCTCCAAAGGGAGATCAACACCACCACTTGCCAGGACCATGGAATATCTACCACTGAAGCAACGACTCCATCTTACCAGTTAGGTAGCAGCCCATACCTCCAAAGGGAGATCAACACCACCACTTGCCAGGACCATGGAATATCTACCGCTGAAGCAACGACTCCATCTTACCAGTAAAGTAGCAGCCCATACCTCCAAAGGGAGATCAACACCACCACTCACACGTAGGACCATGGAATATATACCAAGGATTGTTTAATAAGTGCAATGTGGTCTCTAGGTCACACTAAACATTTCCAAAATGTCTTTGTATGGTCCTGTGTTGGCAGGCTTTGCTTCAATTCAAATGGGTTTTGCATTCCTATACACGTTCATAGAAATGCAGAACCCATTTTCAGGAGGTCAAAGGCAAATGGGAATGAATTCTGAATGATCTCAGAACCAAGAACTCATACTGGTGTCATGTTTATGTCAAGCTGATGCCACTGACCCAGGCCCATTAACACTGACCCTCCTCTGCACTGGAAACACCCGAACTCATTTATATGAAGGGATGTTAACATTCTTTGGCCATATGATGTATATTGATTATTTAAATCTAATCTACAGTTCTACAGATTACATCAATATGAGTCACAGTAATTGGAACAAAAATATATGGAGCAAAGTTGGAGTCGTTGCAGCAGCCATTCAAATTGAATAATTTACAGTTAAATGACTTTAACCTTTAAAATACAGTTTTTGTTTTATTTGAATCAGTTGAACTCATGTTGGCATTACCCAATCTCATTATTGTTTGGCGTAGAGAAGAGCCTTTTCTTACCATGAATAAAAAAAATGGCAATTTTCCATGGGGCCTAAGGGTCAGATGATTTCTGTCTACGGGGATCGGCGTGGGTAATTCCTGCCGTTATAGCTGCAGACTTAATAAAACACCTGTGCAGTCCTATTATAAGTAGGCACACATCTAAATAGGCTAGCTAGGAATTGGTATTTTCCAAATGAGAGGTCAGCAAAGGCACGCTCTATATCTCACTCAGGAAAGGTTTCCTCCGAGGCAGAGGTGTCCAACTCCATTTTATCATGAGCCACATCAGCATTATGGATGCTCTCAAGTGGCTGGTTGTATCTGTAAGGCTAGATGTCCAGAGTACCCCACCTCCTCTTACATCAGATGTCAAGAGCCCCCACACCATCAGAAGTCATGAGTCCCCCCACCCTCCCTTACATTACAGTGCACCCCCCTCTTTACCTTGTACTGCTGCTGGGAAGAAGCTAGTGGGGGGAGCTGGGAAGCAGAAAGTGCAGGGTCTGGAGGAGAACCAGAGAAGGGCCGTAGTCTGCTCAGTGCCGAGAGCAGGAGAGGCAGAAACCAGGGGGGTGCTGCAGCTGCGCAGAGGTGTGCAGGATCTGTGGGAGAAGTTCTGTCGTCTTCTGCTGAGATAAGGTGGGGGCAGGGAAGAGGGGGTGCTGCAGCTGCAGAGGCGGTGCGAGGGCCACATGAAATGGCCTGGCTGAATTCAGCCTGCGGGCCTTGTGTTTGACACTTGTGCTCTAAGGAATGTATCTTAAGAAATAATAGCCAACTGTCTCAACAGATTTAAATCATTTTGTATTTTTTTTCCAAAGGTCGCTGGATAACCCAACTCCACCATACACTCCCAAATTGACCCGCAGGTAGGTGATGCCACCCAATTGGGTGCTGAAATAATATTAATCCTAATATAATGTGCCCTATCATTTGTGGTGCTGTACAAGGGCAAGTAAAGGTGTCTAGAAAAACATACACAGAAGTAACAACTACATTAAGATAACAAGCTCATTAGAGCTCAGCAGAATTTTGCAGTCTAGAGTGGTATAGGACGGCATTTCTCAACCAGGGTGCCTTGAGGTTTCTTCAGGGATGCCTTGGCAAAATGTCCAAAAATTGCCCAAAACTTGTATACAAGCCAGCGGGTGGAACAAGCCTGCCTTTTAGTTACACAAAGCCACAGGTTTTAATTGTGCACCAGTACGCCCTTCTAGCCGCAGGCGTCCTGACAACCAATGAAATCAACAGTTGATAAGGAGGTTGTCAGCTGCCTGTACAGCATCCTAGCATCCACATTTTGGAATGGGGTGCCTCGGGACTGTCCATAATTTTAAAGGGTGCCTCGGGACTGTCCATAATTTTAAAGGGTGCCCCGGGACTGTCCATAATTTTAAAGGGTGCCTCGGGACTGTCCATAATTTTAAAGGGTGCCTCGGGACTGTCCATAATTTTAAAGGGTGCCTCGGGACTGTCCATAATTTTAAAGGGTGCCTCGGGACTGTCCATAATTTTAAAGGGTGCCTCGGGACTGTCCATAATTTTAAGGGGTGCCTCGGGACTGTCCATAATTTTAAAGGGTGCCTCGGGACTGTCCATCATTTTATAGGGTGCCCCGGGACTGTCCATCATTTTATAGGGTGCCCCGGGACTGTCCATAATTTTAAGGGGTGCCTCGGGACTGTCCATAATTTTAAGGGGTGCCTCGGGACTGTCCATAATTTTAAAGGGTGCCTCGGGACTGTCCATAATTTTAAAGAGTGCCCCGGAACTGTCCATAATTTTAAAGGGTGCCTCGGGACTGTCCATAATTTTAAAGAGTGCCCCGGAACTGTCCATAATTTTAAAGGGTGCCTTGGGACTGTCCATAATTTTAAAGAGTGCCCCGGGACTGTCCATAATTTTAAAGGGTGCCTTGGGACTGTCCATAATTTTAAAGGGTGCCTCGGGACTGTCCATAATTTTAAAGGGTGCCTCGGGACTGTCCATAAATATAAAGGGTGCCTCGGGACTGTCCATAATTTTATAGGGTGCCTTGACTGAAATAGGTTGAGAAACACTGGTATAGGAGATAGTGTTGAGGATAAGGAATGAATTCATGTTTTAGTAGTCCTTCTGATACAAGAAAGGGGAAATTCATTTAAAGCTGAACTCTAGGCGACTAGTTAAATACACAGAAAAAAAATGTGCATAAGGAGCTGCTTTATATGGTTGTCCATCCAGTCCTGAGGTTTTCACAGCTGTGCCACACTGGGGTCTGGCAGTGGGAGCAAGCCCAATTTTTGCTCTGCTTCAGTTAAATCTAAACTCTGGAATAGACATTTAAATAAAAAAAAAAACCCTTGCAGTGCCCCCCTCCTGCACTACAAAGGGTTAAATGCTTGTATAGCCTAGGGGTAGAGGAATAAGGTATAATGCCATATTCCATGTTCTGGCAAGCTTTGGGTGCTCTCCTTTTCTCTCTGGTGCTCCTTATTGTGGGTGGGTCCTTGTTGCCCTCATGTATAAAGCAGGGCTATTGCCCCTGTATTGTTCTTGATGATGTTTATGTTCGACCACCGGTCTGAGTGTCTTAGAGAAGACGGTTTGGGGGGGCCAATTGCACAGATGGCAGGAACCTACTGGAGCAAGAAATTGGGTATTGCGCCTTATTGCTCTACTCCTAGACTTAACAAGCATTCAACTCTTGCAGCCGGGGGTTCCCCACCACAAAAGCATCTTTTTTGTAATTCTGAGAGTTCAGCTTTAAGTAACACTTACAGATCTTGATGGTCCCCCAGCCAGTGACTGGACAGAGAAGCAGCAGACTGGCGGGCTCATCTCTCTGCCATTCTTCTTCATCCTTCTATCAGCAAGTACTTTTGGTAGCACATGAGCGATGCAGCACAATTGTTTGGCTCCTCATACTGCATCTTTTTCTCCCAGTCTAAGGTTGATAGAGGTTGATACCAAATCAAATTCAAGTACCTACACTGCTTTCTTGATGATATAACCGATTCAGAGCTATATTCATTTGTGTCTTTTACATTTGCCTGAAGTTCAGCTTTAATCAAATTAAATGCCCATTCGAAGTAGACTGAGTGATCATTGTTTTAGCTGGGCAACAGCATTTGTTTTAGAAGAAAGCCAGCAATACCGGCCTCCATATTGCTCTCAGCTTGAGTTTCCTATAAGTGCCAGAATCTGACCATATTTTGGAGGCATATATGTGTTGACTTGTTCTTCCTTTTCTAGGAGTATGGAGTCTCCAAACCTGAGCATTACAGGTGAATCCTTGCTTGCCAATCTGCAGGAAGATGACTTGGGACATCTCTCAGACCTCGATGTGGAACCAGATGCCCAGAACTGGCAGCACACCGTGGGTAGGGAGGTGGCACAGCATTTGTCTCCAAAAGAACGAGCACGGCAAGAAGTAATACACGGTGAGCAACTTCTGACAGCTATTGGTGATGATGTATTTCAGGGTTAGTTCACCTTTACCAAAAAACTGTCTATGCAGGTAAGGGGCATTCTAAGATAAAAAAACTGGTGAAGCTTTGATTTAAGTTGGATAATGTCATTTTTATACAGTATCTCCCAGAAGTGAGTTCACCCCTCACATTTTTGTAAATATTTGATTCTATCTTTTCATGTGACAACACTGAAGAAATGACACTTTGCTACAATGTGACGTAGTGAGTGTACAGCTTGTATAACAGTGTAAATTTGCTGTCCCCTCAAAATAACTCAACACACAGCCATTAATGTCTAAACCTCTGGCATCAAAAGTGAGTACATCCCTAAGTGAAAATGTCCAAATTGGGCCCAAAGTCTCAATATTTTGTGTGGCCACCATTATTTTCCAGCACTGCCTTAACCTTCTTGGGCATGGAGTTCAGTAGAGCTTCACAGGTTGCCACTGGAGTCCTCCATGACGACATCACGGAGCTGGTGGATGTTAGGGACCTTGCGCTCCTCCACCTTTCATTTGAGGATGCCCCACAGATGCTCAATAGGGTTTAGGTCTGGAGACATGCTTGGCCAGTCCACCACCTTTACGCTCAGCTTTTTTAGCAAGGCAGTGGTCATCTTGGAGGTGTGTTTGGGGTCGTTATCATGTTGGAATACTGCCCTGCCGCCCAGTCTCCGAAGGGAGGGGATCATGCTCTGCTTTAGTATGTCACAGTACATATTGGCATTCATGGTTCCCTCAATGAACTGTAGCTCCCCAGTGCTGGCATCACTTATGCAGCCCCAGACCATGACACTCCCACCACCATGCTTGACTGTAGGCAAGACACACTTGTCTTTGTACTCCTCACCTTGTTGCCGCCACACACGCTTGACACCATTTGAACTAAATCAGTTTATCTTGGTCTCATCAGACCACAGGACATGGTTCCAGCAATCCATGTCCTTAGTCTGCTTGTCTTCAGTGGGCTTTCTTGTGCATCCTCTTTAGAAGAGGCTTCTTTCTGAGACGACAGCCATGCAGACCAATTTGATGCAGTGTGCAGCGTATGGTCTGAGCACTGACAGGCTGACCCCCCCATCCCTTCAACCTCTGCAGCAATGCTGGCAATACTCATACGTCTATTTCCCAAAGACAACCTCTGGATATGACGCTGAGCACGTGCACTCAACTGCTTTGGTCTACCATGGCAAGGCGTGTTCTGAGTGGAACCTGTCCTGTTAAATCGCTGTATGGTCTTGGCCACCATGCTGCAGCTCAGTTTTAGGGTCTTGGCAATCTTCTTATAGCCTAGGCCATCTTTATGTAGAGCAACAATTCTTTTTTTTTGTTTTTTTTCCGATCCTCAGAGAGTTATTTGCCATGAGGTGCCATGTTGAACTTCCAGTGACCAGTATGAGAGAGTGAGAGCGATAACACCAAATTTAACACACCTGCTCCCCATTCACACCTGAGACCTTGTAACACCAACGAGTCACATGACACCGGAGAGCGAAAATGGCTAATTGGGCCCAATTTGGACATTGTCACTTAGGGGTGTACTGACTTTTGTTGCCAGCGGTTTAGACATCAATGGCTGTGTGTTGAGGTATTTTGAGGGGACAGCAAATTTACATGTTATACAAGCTGTACACTGACTACGTCACATTGTAGCAAAGTGTCATTTCTTCAGTGTTGTCACATGAAAAGATAGAATACAATATTTACAAAAATGTGAGGGGTGGACTCACTTTTGTGAGATACTGTAGGTGTAGGTTGTTTACATACTTCCCGAAGCCTGACCGAAAAAACTCCCAGAGATGACATCATCCTGTCTTGCCTTGTTGCTAGGATGTTGCTAAGATGTTTCCAGCTGATTCAAACCCCATTTCATGTGCTGTCTTTTTTGCTCTTCGTAGTAGCTCTGAGCTCAGCGATTCTGCAGTGGTTTAGGAGCTCGCTCCTGTGATGGTGGGGAGCATTAACAGTTGGGAGTGTCTTAGCAACATTATAACAACAAGGCAGGATGGGGGAATGCCAAGTTTTTTTGGCCCGGCTTCAGGAGGTAGGTAAATGGCCTACATCTATAGAAAGGGCACTATCCAACTTTAGTCGAAGTTGTACAGGTCGTTTTAAATTTTTTTGGTAAAGGTGAACTAACCCTTTGCCCCCATTCACACCGATGCGACTTGTCATGTGATTTGACAAATCGCATGACAAGTCACACCCAATGATCATCAATGGAACTGTTCTAGTCAGTGCATCTCCAGCGAAGTCCGAGTCGCACCCATTTGAAAAGAAGTTCCTGCACTACTTTTGGCAATTTCGGGAGCGACTTGGATAGACATCCCAGTAGATCAGCAGTTGAAGTCGCACAGATGTCTTACAAGTTGCACCTGAAGTCGCAGTGATATTCGACTTTGAAATTGTGCGACTTCACTTGAAAGAGTATTTAAAAGTATTATATTAAGGCAGGAAAGTCCCAGCATAGAGATAATATATAACATACCACAACATTTTAGGTATTCATGCGTTTGTACAACCCTACAGTATATTAGAGGAATGTAAATTTCAGAATATACCATTTGAACATAAAAATTAAGTAATGTGATAAATACTTTATAATCTTTATATTACTAGGTCTAGTTTGACTTTAATCTTTTGCTCTCCTTTAGAACTGTTTATGACAGAAGCTTCTCATCTACGGGTCCTCCGTGTTCTGGATCATATTTTCTACCAGAGGATGCGTAAAGATAATCTGTTGTCTACAGATGAACTATCGCTGGTCTTCCCCAATCTTCCTGAGCTCATCGAAATTCACAGTAAGTGAGCAGAAATGAATGTATATAGATAATGGTTCACTAGGTCAGAATTTCTCAGCCTTCTCAACTCAGAGGAACCCTTGAATTAACTTTCTGGTCTCAGGAAACCTCTGCTAAAAATGACTAAATCTACAGCTCATGATACATTAGTGTGATGGTCGGTGAGAAGAATGCTCCTTACATTTGTGGTCATTGGTCAGAATTACCCCCTTTCATATAGCTAAAAAAGATCAATGGTGTCAGTGGGAACTTATCTGAGAGGCAGATATTGCTCAAGGAACCCCTAGCAACCTCTGGAGGAACCCTGGTTGAGAAACCCTGCCCTAGATGGACACCTAACCACATGTCTATTTGACCTTGTTGGATCTCCACTCCCAAAGCCGAGGGCATTAGAGCTCATTTACACCAACAGGTGCATGTTAAGTTTTGCATAATGTGCACCTGCAACTGGTTGGACAATGCATCACAGGTTATTTTTTACTTTATTAAATTTGACAGTTCATCTAATTCTATGCACAGCAGCACTTTGCCATAGATTGTAGCGCATAACAACATGCTGCAGAAAAATGCAACATTTCCTACTTAATTTCAGTGCACACCAATGCAGCATGTTGGTGTTAACTGAAAAATAGGACATAATGCCCAACAGGGCTGGTTGCTTGAGCCCTAATATTAGGCTGCAGCTATAAAAGCCTCCACTCTTTTGGGAGGACTTGCATGAATTTGCGTCCATTAAATAAATGGATCCTCTGGGTCAACTGTGGGTCTAGGATTATAACTTTTTTTTTTTTTTATGGTTGAACTGGATGGACTTTTGTCTATTTTCAGCCAGACTAACCATGTAACTATGTAAACCAAATGAGCATTTGTGAGTTGTTGATATTGGATTAAGAAGACCTGACTCAATTCATCCCAAAGGTGTTCAGTAGGGTTGTGGTCAGGACTTCAAGCAGCTCACTCAAGTTCCTCCACACCAGAGTGGTCAAGCCATATGTTCATGGAGTTGGCTTTGTGCATGGAGAACAGCCACACTAGAATAGAAAAGGGCCTTCACCAAACTGTTTTTACAAGGTTGAAGAGCACAATTACCTAAAATGTTGCATTTTGTAGCATTCCCTTCAGTGGAAACACCTGAACTCAATAATTCAGTTTCCAAAAACCTTTGGCCAGAGAATATACTCTCACCGGCCACTTTATTAGTGTTAGGGATCCGGGTATGACCAGAAATGTGTGGACTGACACAGGGAAGTAGCAGGCTTCAAGAACACAGGCGTAGTCAGGCTGGAGAGGTGGAATGGTCAGGCAGGCCATAAGGTACTGTCAGGTGCCACTTGGCAGTGTCTCTAGCAGCCCACAGCACGGATTTCCTCAGGGCGCAGGGTCTAAGTACCAGCCTGCTATTCACCAGGGCCCCTGATGGTGAGGATGGACTTGGTGCAGACTGGAACCAGGTCACGACCCCTTAGTGCGTCCGGCTGTGGTAGAGAGTACTGGCAGGGGAGTGCAGGAACGGAGTCTGATGGGAAGAGGCAGGCAGGCAGACTTACCAAAGGTGATCCGTGCGGGATGGATGGATCGTCGGATGAAGTAAGCGTAGTCAGACAGGCCGGGTCGGTATCGTGCGGGCAGCGTGGTACAGGAGGAGCAAGCAGAGAATGGTCGGGGTCACAAGCCAGGTTCAGCAGGTAGCGGGCAGTGCGGTACCGAGGATCAGGCAGAAGGATGGTCAGGCAAGCCAGGGGTTCAACAGGAGATGGTCAGGATCAAAGCAGGGTCAGCAACAAGGCAGGAACACAGGATACCAGGTACAGGGGCTCATGGGAAACATACACCAAGGCCCAGATCACAGGCCTGGTCATTCCTTATATGATATGCACCTCCTGCAATCAGCCTCAGGTGTTTTGGCTGATTGCAGGAATGAGCCTCTGATTGCTGAGAGCACCCGCTGGCCAGCCCTGGTACTGCAACCCACAAGGCAGGTGAGTCCCACCACTATTGGCGAGTCCATTCCTGACAATTAGATACACCTGTTCAATTACTTGGTAACACAAATTGCTAATCAGCCAATCACATAGCAGCAACTCAATGCATTTAGGCATGTAGACATGATGAAGATGACTTTCTGAAGTTCAAACCGAGCATCAGAATGGGGAAGAAAGGGGATTTAGGTGACTTTGAACATGGCATGGTTGTTGCTGCCAGACGGGCTGGTCTGAGTATTTCAAAAACTGGTGATCTACTGGGATTTTCACACACAACCCAGTGTGATTACTGATACATCCCTTACCGATAATACAGTTCTTGGCCTTCTGGCTGGAATACAAGTCTTCCAACTGTGGCTTGAACACGTTTGATTGGCATAAGTAGAACTTGGACATGATTTCCAATTGACTACTGAATATATAACCAGTCTTGGTTTCACAGCCATCTCTTCTGCTCTGTCCCGTTATCTTGTAGCAGTTGCTACTGGCAGGTGTCCCACTCTTCAGCAAAGCCAACCTGATTTCCATTCTTAAGACCGCTAATTATGCAGCTGAGAAAATCACATCTTGTATTTCAAACACAGCCAATAAGCCATGATTTGTCTTGCCAATTTAAAGACCAGCTGCAGCCAAAGCCTACGTTTTTGCACAGAGCAGGGATGGCTTACTCCTTCTTTGAGGTTTTTTCTCCTGTCTGTAAATCTAGTGGGGGCGATTTTACTGCAAATCTCACAAAACAGTCCTGCAATGTTCATATATACCCACTTAAAACCATCATTAATTAAGAAATCTTCTGTAGTGAAACATGTCCCATGATTTATAATATAGTCCCAATTCTTTTCAATCTTGTGTTCCACAGCAATCTTCTACTGTGAATCACCACGTGTTCCTCACACCTTCACTGCAATCCGATCACCTGGCGTTTTGACTTATAAAAACTAGGTCAGGATGGGCCCTCACCTTTAAGGGGGTATTGTAGCCTGGATTGGTGTTAAAACCCAGATGGATCCTTATTTCTACTTCATACCCCCATACAACTCCACTGATCTGTATGATGTTACTTGGTTTATATATATTCTTCAACTGTGCTAAAAAAAAAAAAAAAAATTAAACCATCCTACTGTTTTTTGTAACCACATTTATTACTATTCAACCATAAAAACGCTCACATGGTAATGTGCACTGATCTGGTGCACTACAGAGATCAGGCTTGCACTGCCCCCTTAAGGTGTGGATGGATTTGGCACACTGAATTCACTTTATTCTGCAAGGTCTGCACTGTCCCCTTAAGGCATGAATGGACTCCACTTACTGTATATGCCGAGCTGACTCCCTTCTGCTAGACTTTCTGTTGTAGCATACTTACGTCACCGGCTCCACCCCTTACGCGTTACGCCACCATCATGTGGCCTCACCAGAGGGCTTGGAGCATCATGACATTTTGCCTGGTTTATACAGGACTTTGGTGACATGTCTCTAAGGCAACCTCCCATGCTATGTTTATATGAAGATTGTCCTTTCTATCACTGCATTGACTCTGAATCTTGATCTTGCTGATACTAGTACCGATCTCTCTATATTTTCCTGCCTACCTGATCAGCTCCTTGAAGGCAGGGCCAATGTCAGCTAGCATTTTCAGAAGGAGCTCAACCAATGATCTGTGTGAAGGGAGTGACTTTTGGGGGTGGGGGGACCCCTGTCTCAGCTCCTCATATTCCTCTTGTGTCTAAGGCACCCTGTGCCTGTTAGGGGTACAGGGTGGAATGTCCATTGTTCTCTGCCATGCAGCTGCATCCCATTGTTCTAGAAAACTATTTTGGGATGTAATGTTTGTGTATTGGTGTGGGGGTTGTTCATTGTTTACTGCCCAGTGGTTGTCCATTGTTCACTGCCATGTGCTGCATCCCTTTGTTCTATTGTGTGTCTTGGTTTGGAGGGGGGGTGTTTCCAGCAGCCCTTCCCTGATGGGACAGCCTGCTGATGTGTTTCCTGTTCCTGGTTGTATTTCCCCGCCTTGTGTATATATCTTGTGTTTGTGTGAAAATAAAGCAGTTGACTTCCTGTCTTAAGAGAGTCTGGTGCTGTCTATTTCCTGTATGGTCAGCGGTGGGGTCCGTGGATAATGTTCGGACAGGGAAGTCTAACGGAAATACCCTAGCGCAGTCGGGGTCCGGTTCCGTTACAATCTGTTTCCCTGAGTACAAATTTTCACTAAGGTGACTGTTGACCTTTTTATTTTGCCTTTAGGGCATAAACCACAATTCCCGCTGATAACATTAAAAACGAAAATGTATTCTTTTAGTGGAGTAATTAGACTGTTGTAAGTTTATATACAATGTTCTGTTTTCTACCCCAGATTCTCTGGCAGAAGTCATGAAACGAGTGAGGGAAGAAGGACCTGTCGTCAAGGAGATTGGTGATCTCATGTTGTTTCGGGTAAGGCTGCAAAAACGAAGGTTGTATTTTTTTTTTATGCTTGCTGACGTTGGCTGTAAAATTAATGTAACATCTCTCACGTTAGTTAGGGTTTGGTTGGGTCTTAAAGGAAAAATTTATTTTCCTATAAAGCTCACTTAAAGGGTTCTTGAACCTACATGAAAACTGTGAATATATACTGTGGATACACTTGTGACTAAAGGCAAATATTTTTCCCAGCCCCAACATGGAAACATACATATAGTAGTATGCTGCCATGGATTGGCACCAGAATATTATGGCAAGTATTTGATACAATTTTCCTGGCACCAACATGGCAGTGTTCTACCACACGTATGCTGCCATGGATTGGTACCAGAAAAGGCAAATTAAGGTAAGTAATACAATTTTCGTAAGGGAATGTTATAACCCCTTGCCATCTCTTTCCCATTGGGGAAATTTCCCTTCACTTCCCGACCTATAACCAAAACGGGAAGGGAGACGGAATCCCCCCCCCCCCCCAAAATTAGGTTATCCCAGTTTGTCACCAGAGATAGTCTCCCCATTGGATCCCCTTCATTAGTGTTTTGATGTCAAGTCAAACTTTGGGGTTTTCTTTACTTTCAGGACAGGACATAAAGAGAGGGTGAATCTTCCTAATGGGGGCACAGACAGCAAAAAAAAAACTGACAGCTGTTCTAATTCCTCCCCACACAACCCAAAATTAAAAACAAAAAAAGTTTTGCTTTTAGTCACTTTCCTTTGCAGTGTGATAGACGTTCATTATGTGTCTATTCTTTTCCTTCCAGCCAGGGATAGTTTGTCTTCCACAGCCTTCTGTGGCTCTTATTACCAGCCAGCTCCCTATGGAGCCACTGCAGCATGTGTGCAGACAGAAGAAGAGCTCTATGGGTAATATTTAGCATCAATGGAGCTAGGATTTGTACCGTAAACAGCAGCTATTTGAGCTAGGGTAGCTGATAGGATACTCATCATTAGAGGTCATTTATATGAATGCAAAAAAAAGTATTTTTCCTTGAAAAGTGTTTTAAAAAATTTGAGGAACTTGATCTGCTTGGCCAAACAATTTTGTCTCCCCATATGAAAGTTTTTACTTGTGTACATTGTGAGCATGGAAGGGTCAACTCTTACAATTATTTATGCTTTCTATAGTTCGATGGACCTCCTGGAGAGGAAGTTCGTGAAGAAACAGCCAAGTTTTGTTCTTGCCAAACCATTGCACTTGACCTCATCAAAACCAAAAAGAGGAAAGAAGCCCGGTTTAATCTCTTTATGCAGGTGATGTCCTACTTAATCACATCTTATTCTCTTTTTGTCTTCATTTCTTTTTCGTTACTTATTTTCTCATTCCTTATGTCCTTTACCAACATTCAGGGGAACTCTTAAGAGCGTTTAAGACACTCTTTAGAATTTTGATGTGCCTCCAATCTCTTTGTAGGAGACAGATTCATGTACCCGTTGTAGATAGGTGCATGATCCTGGGGCAGGCACTGTATATGGAGGTGGAGCTTCCATTTGGACTTTCTGCCCTCATCGCAACTGTGCTTCCTCCCTAACACTGTCAGTGCAGCAGCCAAGGAGTTTTTGTACCTGGCAGGCGGAGCCTGATGGGGATTCACAGACATTAGATCCTCATTTTTGATCGACAGCAGGCAGTGGGCAGAACCTTAGCCAATAAATAGTCTGCTATTGGCTTTAGGGTCCACTCTTTGCCTGCTGGCAAGTGGACTCTAAAGCCAAAGTGGACCTGCTAGGTTACTACCGTATTGGCTTCTCCATCAGGCACCACCCACTTAAGCTTCACTGGTTGCTAGGAGGTCCTTGGGAAGTTCCCCTTAGGAAGGGAGAGGTTAGCAGTGTTAAATATGCCACTTTGCTACACTGTGTACAGGGACAGGCATTCGTCCTCTTTCTGTATGCCAAGTTAGAGTAGGTCTTCGTTGCCTCTAGTGTCCATAAAGCGTCCTCCAGCCAGCGCAAACCAAAGGTAATTATTTTTTAATTTGCTGCATTAATAGTGTCACTTTGTAAAAATGGCAGTACATGCTGGTAACGTTGCCGAAATGGGCGGTAGGGATTTTTGGATCTGGCGCAGGCCATTTGTCAGGGCTCCCGGTAAGACCAGAGATGTGTGAACTGACACAGGGAAATGCAGTTTTAAGTATGGTGTAACAATATAATTTATTACAGGTTATACACAAATATAAAACACACAATATACCAAAACCAAACCTCCAACTGAAAACGGAATGAACACAGACAAGAGCAGTCAGGGCTGGTGAGGTGGAGTGGTCAGGCAGGCCGGGTCAGGAACCATCGGGCAGACAAGACACAAAGCAGCAGGCAGAAGAGTGGTCAGGAATAGCCGAGGTCAGGACAGGCGGAGTTCGTTCAGAGTCAGGATCAAAGCAGAAACAGGATCAGGCAGGAAGCAGACAGGATGCAGGTACAGGGGCTCATGGGAAACATACACCAAGGCACTGATTGCAGGCCTGGCCACTCCTTAAATACACCTTCTGCAATCAGCCTCAGGTGATGACTTGATTGCAGGAGTGAGCTTTTGGCTGCTGAGAGCACCCGCTGGCCAGCCCTGGTACTGAGCCCACACGGCAGGTGAGTCCCACCACCAGTGGTGAGTCCATTCCTGACACCATTTTAAAGAGCCATAGCGTCAGAAAACTGTCGGTAGTGCTTCACTGAATCCCCTCCGCCCCCCAATTGTCCCTTGTGCTTTTTATAATCAAATTGTTTCAAATTCTAATTTTTGTTCACCATGTTCCTTTTTTTGCATGTGCTAATGTTAGGAGGCGGAGAGCAGTCCCCAATGTCGAAGGCTACAGCTTAAGGATTTAATAGTGTCGGAAATGCAGCGATTGACCAAATACCCACTGCTGCTGGAGAACATCATCAAACACACAGATGGTAAGATCATTCATTAAGGGGTAATTCCATGCGGTAACAGTCCCATTGTTGTTATCTTAAAGCCTTGACCCCAATGGCGTCTCCCACCTAAAATTGGGGTTCAGCCCATTGGAAGCGATTCCCCCTATACCCTTAACATAGAGACCTGTTGCTTGGACACCAGTCCAGCACGGTTTCCCACCCAAACTATCTATTCCCTATGAAAATCTGCCCTTATCGTCCCATGTTTTTCTGTATTGTCCATCTCCTTCTGTTCCTAACACAGTGTTGTCTCCCTCCCATCTTTACCTTCCAGGATACTCTGACGAACCCTGTCCTGCCCTTTCCCTGTTTTCCTACTGTGTCTTACTCCCCCTCTCCCTTGAGTCAATACCCATTTATATTATTTTCTCATTGTCATATCAAGAGTCAGTTATTTTCCGCCATACTGTGGGATGAACCCTCTCATCATTGCCTACCTGTTCGTATTTGACCAGCATAGTCTCCATGAACACTTTGGGGTCCTTGGTCTTCTAAGCTCACCTATCAATGGCCATTGTGTGGATTCAGGTCTCCCATATTATGCCAGTCCAACACACCTTGCCACTAGAGTGATCTAATGTAATCTTTTTTTCCTCTATTTTTTTTTTTATCTATTGCGGACTCCCACTGTAACTGTTTATCAATCTCAAGTTGTTTCTTGAACTATGTTTGTCTTCTCATGTCCTCCTGTCTTTTCTATGGGCAGGCCTTCTTCTTTTTGGATATGTATTCAGGGGGACCCACAGGATATTTCAAGAAAATTTTAATTTTATGGAAATGCAGGAGTTTTTCTTTTCTCCACTTTATCTTCTCCATTTTATTTATGCTTATGTATTGCAAATAAGTCAGTTCAGTTACATCAGCTATTCTCAACCAGGGATCTGAGGAACCCTAGGCTTCCTCCAGGGGTAAAAAAATACACTAAAGTTAGTTTTAGGGCACACAAACACAATATAATAATTTTATTGTAAAATATAAAAGGTGAAGTTGCACCGAGTAAATAGATGCCCAACATCTCCAACCTTAAAATCGCATGTGCCCTTGAAACAGCGACAAACTTCGGTATCGTATATTTTCCATAGGCAACATGTAAAAGCCTCTACAAGTTATCAGTTTAGAGTTAACCATGAACAATGGGCCTGGAATTATTGCTCTGATTCTGGTGTCTGTGATGATATGTAATGTGTATCGCAATTGACGTTCTCTCACCTAGGTGTCCCTGACCCTTGTATATATATTCATACATACATGCATGTATGTGGAGCTCAAAAAATTTGTTGAGGGAGTTAAGTGCTCGGATGTAACTTTAATTTTTTTTTTACTCTTATTTTGACTTTATTTTTTATCACATAAAGAACAAAAAGTCCCCTATGTGATGATTTTTTTTTTTATGACATGTCTTTATTGAGACATCAGGGACCTAAATGACTCGTGATGCCTCACCTCCCCTCCAATTAAGCTAATGGAGCTCAAAGCATGCTCCATTAGCTTCTTCCCGGCCATATTTTATGGTTGAACTAGATGGACGCGTGTCTTTTTTCGGTCAGACTAACTATGTAACTCTTTATATTGGCTGAGGAAAGTGACACCAAGACCTGGAAATGATGTTTTACATGTTGATTCTGCGGTATTAGCAGGAAGGAGAGATTGGTGAACGTCTGTCTACCTATCCCCTCTACCCAGTGGCACCTGCATGTTGGTGCCGGGTTTTCCGATGGGTGTGCGGAGCTGAAGAAGCATGAAGGGGGCAGCATGGGGTGGGGAGGGGGCATCACTTATGGGGGTGTGCAGAAGATCTTGGGCACCTGCAGAGCTGCCCGATTGCTTCCATCTAACAGCCGACAGTCAGCTTATCAGATTTTTAAACACATTCCCAGCGACTGCAGCCACCAGAAGTGTGTGTAAAACCCCTTCACCACCAACATATGGCATACAGTGGTGGTGGTAAAAGAGGTAATAAAGAGAACGAGGTAGATTTATTATACAACATTTTTTTTTTAGCCAAGCTATGAATTTTGAAGTATTTAAACCTAAAGACAAAAAATTAATTTTATGAAGCTTACTAGTTCTTTGATATGGGAGCTGCATGATTTTCTATTTTCAGACTCCTGTTTATTTTCATCTGGTGATCCTGCCAGTAACACACTTCCTCTTCTAGAGTTACAATGATCAATTGCCATACTGTTTCTATGGAGTAGCAATGTTGTTGCCCTTGGACAATGCTACGGAACTTTTTCTCCCTTTCCTCATCTCCATAGCATGGGGGGGGATGTGTGATGTAGCCCACAGACAGAACTGGAAATGATGCTAAAGAGGGTGCAGCACAGGCAGGGAACACAGGAAGTTAGCAGCTCATAAGATTTCTGGCAGGATCAACTAGTGTTTTTTGGCATTTATCAAACTGGTAGAACAAAACACCTTCAATGGTAAATGGTAACTGTATTTAACAGGCCAGAAGGATGCAAATAATAGAAATTCATTGTTTGGGTTGACATACATTTTAACATGTTAGCATCATGTCTTGCAGCCAGCTCACTGGAATATGAGAAGCTTTGCCGTTGCCGGGATCGATGTCGGGACATCCTGAAATACGTGAACGAATCAGTGAAACAGAGGGAGAATGGATATCGACTGGCGGAGTACCAGAAACGTCTGGACACCACATCCCTGGAGAGGACCAGTAATCCACTGGCAGCAGAGTTTAAGGTGAATGGGACAGCACAGTGTCTTAACCCCTTCCTGCCTAGCCCCGGTGTCCCTTTTGGTGGGTCTATACACTCAGAGGGGCACCTGATCATAGCAAAAAAAAATGAACTGTCTGAGAGCTTGGTCACTCTGCTGAGCACTTTCTCAACACAGAAACCTCAACCGTCCATGGTTGGACATGTGCTGCAGCAAGAAGGGTTAGCATTTGTGGGCAGCAAGAGGTTATTCTATATTGTTTTTGATTTGTGACCCTGTGGGGAGCCGTTTCTAGAATGTTACCATTTCAATTTTTGTTGGCTGTTTCTACTATTGATCAAACTAGGGAGGCTAGAGGCTCAATAGAATGGCAAATAAGACAGGTACAGTGGGCAACCTTGCCTAGTTCCCTCCTCTAGCTAGAAGGTCTTGGAGATTCTGCAGCCCTCTCTAATAGCCGCCTGTGGAGAGCAGTACAGCAACTTAACCCAGGAGATAAACGTGTCCCCAAAGCCAAATCTTTCCAAAGTATTCCACAAGTAGTTTCATTCGATACTATTGAATGCCTTGGTGGTTTCCTATGCTGTTTACTGGGGTCTGCATGTTGATAAACAGGCTCCTTCTTCTACATGTGTATCTTTTATTGGATATAATAATTTTGTATCTTATTGCAGTGGTGCAGAAGAGGTCTTTGGTTTGGCCCTGAAAGTATATCTTCAAATCTCCATTGATATCTACAAATATATATTTTATACATATATGCATTTATATTTATGTGTGTGTGTGTATATATGTGTGTGTGTGTGTGTGTGTGTATATATATGTATGTGTATACACATATACAGTTGTGTTCAAAATAATAGCAATCAGACATCACTAACTGGATCAGTCACTGTTTTTGGTAGAAATTATATATCTACATGGCAAATCATTTACTAGCAGGTGTAGTAGAGTAATAGAAATCCAACCGACCCAACAATAATGACATGCATGCTGCTGATTCTGTGTAATTGAATCACTAATTGAAAGGGGCATGTTTAAAATAATAGCAGTGTGGAGTTCTATTAGTGAGGTCATTCATTCTTTGAAAAACAGGTGGCAATTATTGCCCTTATTTAAGGAAGGAAGGCAGCAAATGTTGTGCATGCTGGTTACAGTGCATTTCTCTCTGAAATGTTGAGGAAAATGGGTAGTTCCAGACATTGTTCAGAAGAACAGCGTACCTTGATTAAAAAGTTGATTGGAGAGGGGAAAACATATAAAGAAGTGCAGAAAATGATAGGCTGCTCAGCTAAAATGATCGCAAATGCTTTAAAATGGCAACCAAAACCTGAAAGACGTGGAAGAAAGCGAAAAAACTACCATTCGAATGGATAGAAGAATAGCCAAAATGGCGCTGACTCAGCCAACAATCAGCTCCAGGAAGATGAAAGAAGGTGTGACGTTCCCTGTGAGGACTGTTACAATTAGAAGACCCCTATGTGAAGCCAAGCTATCTGCAAGAAGCCCCCGCAAAGTCCCACTGGTGAAAAAAAGACGTGCTGAAGAGGTTACAATTTGCCAAAGAGCACATTGACTGGCCTAAAGAGAAATGGCGCAACATTTTGTGGACTGATGAAAGTAAGATTGTTCTTTTTGGGTCTAGTGGCCGGAGACAGTTTGTCAGACGACCCCCAAACACTGAATTCAAGCCACAGTACACTGTGAAGACAGTGAAGCATGGTGGTGCAAGCATCATGATATGGGGATGTTTCTCATACTACGGTGTTGGGCCTATTTATCGCATACCAGGGATCATGGATCAGTTTGAATACATCAGAATACTTGAAGAGGTCATGCTGCCTTATGCTGAAAGAGGAAATGCCCTTGAAATGGGTGTTCCAACAAGACAACGACCCCAAACACACCAGTAAACGTGCAACATCTTGGTTCCAGACCAACAAGATGGACGTTATGGAGTGGCCAGCCCAATCCCCGGATCTTAATCCAATAGAAAACTTGTGGGATGACATCAAAAATGCAGTTTCTGAGGCAAAACCAAGAAATAGAGAAGAACTGTGGAATGTAGTCCAATCATCCTGGGCTGGAATACCTGATCACAGGGGCCAGAAGTTGGGTGACTCCATGCAACACAGATGTACAGCAGTTCTCAGAAACAGTGCGACTACAACCAAATATTCATTAAGTGATTCAAAGGAAAGCAAAATCTTCAAACATTTTTCAGTTTATATAGTGAATGTTTGAGTTTGTAAAGAAGAATACAAACACTGCTATTTTTTTGAACAGACTAATATTCACTTTTCTTCAATTTTTTTTAGAGGAACAACACAAATTTGATCTATTTTTCTTCATGTTTTGATTTGGAATAGAATGTGTCGTGTTCCCAATGCATTTGTGTGGATGGAAATAAAAGCTATTAGAAGGATTTTGAGCTTTATTCACTTTTTTCAACACACTGCTATTATTTTGAACACACACGAACACACACACACGAACACACACACGAACACACACACACACACACACACACACACACACACACACACACACACACACACACACACACACTGTGTTGACTCAAGTCAAACCGGGACTTTTAATTTTCCAGGTATAAAAAGGGATGCTAGCATGGTGGTACTACACGCAGTAGTAACTGCCAAGTGTGTCCTATTATTACTGATAGGCGGCGCACATGTTGCAGGCCAGTCCAGACACCAGAATCAAGATGACTTACAACATTGTTAGTGCGTGCATGGAGTAGTGTGTGGTGATAAACAAAGGCGTAAAACCTATGGATATCTACAGAAGACTTCAAGCACAGTACAGTGATGGGACGCTCAGCCACAGTAAGACATTTAAATGGTGTAAATGTTTCAAAGATGGCTGTACATCCATCAGTGACGATCCCGGCCGTGGAGGTTCCCAGCTCACACCAGTCATTCCTGTGAACATTTAGCACGTGGAACAGCTGTTTCTGGATAATAGACGCATAACCTGTCCTGAAATTGCACAAGAGACAAATCTTCCTGTGGGAACAATGAACACAGTCATGGAGAAGCGAAGTTGGCTGTCCTAGGATGGTTCAGGCGTACTGACAAATCTTTTGTATGATGAAACTTTCCAGGCATTAGTTAAACACTGGGATAAGTGTATAAATGTAGCAGGAGAATATGATGAAAAATAAATGCAGTTTTCACTCCTTGTAATGTGTTCTTTTGTTTTATAAATGCAAAAGTCCCAGTTTGAATTGAATCCCCTTTGTATATACATAAAGTGTGGCCAATCACTCCCCTTCCTCTCTATCAGGGATGAGATCTGGGTATTTGGATACTAGTCCGAACCCACCTGAGCTATCCCTCCAGAAAGCTATCACTATGCCCCACCAATCATAAGGGACTGAGGCATTCCTTTGCCCTGCTGCCACACTTACATGTATATGTGTGGCTATTTGGTGAGGAATGCTTTGGCCACGTATGGTCTACAGTGACATCTTCCTGGCGGAATCGCTCAGGTGAGTTTGGACTAGTAGGGGAGCATGCCTGAGCCCATCCCTACACTCTATTCCCCAGTGCTGTCCCCCTGCTTCTTTTTCCACTCTCTGCTGCTAAGCTTTTCTGGTTACAATGATGGCCAATATCATACAAGTTTTATTGTGCAGTGAGAATAACAATATGCTTTTCTGCTTACAGAACTTGGACTTGACATCAAGAAGAATGATTCATGAGGGCTCTCTAACCTGGAGGATTACAAAAGACAAGACTATAGGTATGGGATCTGTATTGCAATGTCCTAAAGGTGCCCATAGTGGGATAAGGATGGCCTCTTCTGCAGACCAAGATCAGGCTAACCCTCTACTACCATACATATCTATGCAAACCATTATGTCTAGCACCAGCTTATTTTGTTGCAAATAATAGCCATAGGACAAGGTTTTGAAGGTTATCTTATCCTTTTAATACCCATAAAAATGTAGTCTTGTCTACAAGGTCTGTTTATAGACAGATCAACACCCAATGCAGTCATTTTTGATGACCCCCATCTGCTCTCTTCAGAGATCTAAATGTAAAGATTTAAAGGACACCACCATAGTTGAAGCATTATTTAAAATACTGTGAGATGTTGCAAATTTGAAATACCAGGAGATCTTAATGGCTAAGTTTATATTTTCCAGAAAATAGCCTATGCAGTCAAGGGGCCCCAGTAGTTATTAAAAAACAGTGCAGCTTTGAAAAATGGTCATTAATATTGTTGTCATATCTGTAGGCCATTTGGACCCCTTGGAAGCCTGTATGAAAAAAACTCACATTTAGAAATTCAGATGTCTTGTCTTATTGCTAAGAGCGAATGTCCAATTTTTTTTGTCCTAGCAACAAGGCATGACATGGAGGTTACTAATAGGGCGTTTTTTCAGTTAGACTTCCAGGACTACCCAATTGAGCTACAGATATGAGAATAAAATGAATGAACATTTTACAAAATTGAACTGTTCTTTAATATCTACTGGAGTCTGACTTCATAGTCTATTGATGGAAAAGCTGAACCAGGGGCGGACTGACAACTCATGGGGCCCCCGGGCAATAGGGGATCATGGGGCCCCTGTGTCCTTGCCCAAGCTCAAAAAAGCCTATGAAAAAGGTACCAGGGGCATCTCATGGGGCGCCCTACTGACCCCGGGCCCTCGGGCAGTGCCCGAGTTTCCAAATGGTCAGTCCGCCCCTGAGCTGAACTTAGTTTTTAAGGTTAGAATAACTTAGAAACTTCAGTTTTGCACTTTCTTTTTTACCTGTGTGTGTTGGACCTGCATGGAATTTTCATTTTGGAGCTTCATGCCACCCCCTACCCCCATAAAACCATTGTTCAGTAAAAAAAATATTAAATATGAATATGTATAAATATAAAAGGGGTTGCATTTATTTGTACGTAAGTTTATTTTTTGTCTTGTTCCTACAGACCTCCATGTTCTCCTCTTGGAAGATCTCTTGGTTCTACTGCAGAAACAGGATGAAAAGCTGGTGCTTAAATGTCACAGTAAAACCACGGTGGTCTCCTCTGATACCAAGCAGACCTTTAGCCCAGTGATTAAGTTGAATTCTGTGCTGGTGCGACCTGTAGCCACAGGTAAGATTGGATGGATGGCAGCTCCATGGCCATTTAGAAAGCATAGCAGATGCTTTGGAAATGCCGGTAGAAGGAAAACTTTCCTTGAAATGAACCTGGACTTTGCTTATGTGGGGCAAAGCAAAAGGTTAACTTTAATAGATATCCAAACCAAAAAACAAAAATGTTGCCCCTTACCAGTCTAATATTTCCTGTCCTTGAGTGACAATGCTCACTCACCAACCTGAATCTATGGAGGAGCAGCTAGGACAGAAAGGGGCATTTAGGTTTGTCACTTTACCCCCCCCCCCCCTCCCTTTTTTCAAATTACAACCCCTTGTCTGCTCAGTTGAGCTAAAATAGCATAGTCACCTGCTGTAAGCCACCAAACAATACAAATACAAATTCCCCTCAAACTATTTACATGAATCATGATGGTATAACAGGTGGTGATACTGTTAGATGAGCATAGCAATACACATGAAAATACTCATGGTAATACGTATAGTAATAATAATAATGTCAAAAATCTCATACAGAAAAGGTGTATATATAGAAAACATGTACAAAAAAAAAAGGGAAAACATTTTTTTATATATAGAGAGAATCCATAGAATAAACATGTATACATATATATGTAAATGCAAAAACACAATTGCTATTTAAAATTTAAAAACAGGATGCGTTCATTTTATTATGTGTAGTATAAAATAGTGTATGTTATTAAAAAAGATACCTGGGTTGAGCAGATAGAGACTTCAGTATGGCAGAGTTCCCATGGCAAGGAGACATTCAGCCACTGATTGTCAGTATTACAGCAGTTCATCTTCCTCTACAGTTTTATTAAGCTTCATGATAGAGCTGCACAACCTCTGATCACCAGCGGATGAACACACAACACGCTGCTTGTCACTAACGCCTGTTTGATCTGAGTCTTTGAGTGCAGGAGATAATGGATCTATGATCCCCTAAAAACAGGTCCCCCCCCCCCCCCCCCCCAAAAAAAAAAAAAAATAATTGGTGCAGTTTGCTGGAAGGAGGATCAAAGAAGAAAAAGTGAGTGAAGATCCTCTTTACCATCTGAGCATAAGTGGAAGAGGGAAATATAACCATTTTCTGGGGGTAACATTAAAGTAAACCTGCTGCTTTTCTCTTCATGGGAAAGGCACATGCTTATCTTATGTGCCTTGAGACTTTTTAACTTCATCAAATAGTATTTTTATAAATGTGTGAGTTAGCGAGCGCACCATATAAAGCTGCTAATGCACAAAAAGGAACCACAAAGCCTTTCTAGGATTACAACATAAAAATGGAGTGTGCAGCTCTATACACTATCATAGATATGGCAAAAAAGAAGTCCTGTAAACTGAATGGTAAACAGTCCGAGGTAATATATATGATTTCAATCCAAATGGGTATATTCCAGTGATACAGTATATATGACTTCAATCCAAATGGGTATATTCCAGCATCCTGACATGAAGGTGTAGAAAAATTGCCCACTCACCGGAAGTGCAATTTTAATGTGCACATAGAAATTCCATGTAGCCGGAGGTCCCGTGAAGGTACAGCCTGATGAAAAAGGTATCCTCTGGTGGTTATTGAGGTGACAGCTGCTAGGGATGATGGTCTGGACCTATTTCTCAAATAGTATTTTTATGATCATTTATAGTTTATACGTTTGGTTGACATGTACTGCTAACTGGTGATCAATTAAATATGAATCAGCTTTGTATTTGGGATTGTAATTGTAAGATCGTAATCTCAATATTCACTTTCTTTTCCTTGTGGTATTATATGTTTTTAGTATGTGATATAACCCAGAATATGGGCTTTTTTCTTTCATTTACAGACAAGAGGGCATTCTTCATTATCTGCACATCAGAATTGGGCCCACAGATCTATGAGCTTGTAGCCATGACATCATCGGAGAAAAATATGTGAGTCCCGCAGTAGAAGGGTGCCAGTTATAGATAGAGGTATTGATCTGAGATTCATTGTGGATTAGGGGAAGCATTTAGTTTCCAAGTGGAACTACAGTCTGCAACAGACCACTGTTCCCTGCTACTTTCGTGTTGTGGTACATGCATATGTGGGTAAACATCGATGCACAATAAATCGTGGTATCCTGCCTTCAGCTAATAACCGAACCTTCTATTTCTCCAATCAGTTCATCCCCCACAGTTATTACCTTTTGTTCCACCAGCCCCTCCCTATTAGATTGTAAGCTCCCAGGACCCTCCTAAACCTTTTGTATTGAACTGTATCATTGCTGTATTGTCTCACTTTAGCCGTCATGCACACGGGACATTTTGATAATGCTGGTAACGTTAGCTGTGTAAAGTCACGTTAAAAACTTGAATTTTTCAGCTTTTTTTTTTTCTTATAAAATGCCGGTTTGCTGCATTTTATTGCGTTTTTCAGCGTTAGAGCTTAAAAAGCTCCTCTAGAAACCCACTAGCCCTGGGGTTTTTTTCCAGCCAAAAAGCGTCAAAGCCAAAAAACGTTGATTACAGTCTATGTGTGCATGGACACATAGGATAACATGCTGGGGAGTTTACTAGCTGTAGAAAAAAAAACGTCAAAAGCCAAAACGGCCGCTGTAAAAACGTCCCGTATGCATGAGGACTTGTATTGTAAAGTGCTGAGCAAACTGTTGGCGTTATATAAATCCTGTATAATAATAATACATCAGTATGGACACCTACAGCCATTCCCTTATATTGGCAGCTGTACATGACACCTGTGTTTCCCTAAATGAATAAATGCTCTGAAGATTTTTTGCTTCAGGACTTTGGAGCTAATGTCCACTTGCATAAGTCCTTAACCACTTGCCGCCCTGCCACTGTAGAAATACGGCAGCAGGGCAGCACGGGCAGGCAAAACCACATTTTAAAACGTGTGTGTCAGGGATCCCCCTCGATCCCCGCCGCGATGGTCCTGGCGCAGGCGCAGTATGCCACCCTGTGCAGGGACGCAAGCTGGGCACCAATGGCAGCGCAGGGCGCGATATTTAAACGGCCCTGAGCTGTCATTCGGTGCCTTCTGGTCTTATCCTTGCCCTGCATCCTGTATCCTGAACCTGTACCTGTAAGTTGCTGACCCGGATTGTACCTGACCACTGCTGAATTCTCCTGCCCAGACCCTTGCTTTGCCTGACCTCTCTTCCGTATGTCCCCTATTGGATCTGACCTACTGTTGCTGACCTGGCGTGTGACCCGACTATTCTCTGCCTGCTGCCTTGTACCGTACTGTCCTCCCCGTTACCGACCCGGCTTGCCTGACTCTGCACTTGCTCAGCCATCCATCCATCCATCCCTCTCAACGGGTCTCCAGACCTCCTCATATCAGGCTCTCTTCCGTGGGAGCTCCTGGCGAACACCCCTACCACTGACGGGTATCCTCAGTAAGCAGGACCTGGTCCCGGGGTACTCCAAGTCCATCCCCACCATCAGGGGCCCTGGTGAACAAGTACTCTGGGACTTAGACTACGTGCGCTGGGGACGCCTGATTAGTGGAGTGCTAGTGGTGTCGCCGGGCGGTCCCTTACAGTGTGTTTTGTAAACAGGTAGGAGGAGCGCGAGGCGCACCGCCGCCCTGCTTGTCTTGCCGATCACAGCCGCGGATGTCAGTCGCCAGGTCACAGCCGGTCCTTACCGGCTATGACCCGGCGATCGGCTGCTATCAGTGACAGAGAGCACAGCTGCAGTAGCTGTGCTATCTGTCACTTCCCTGACAGCTCGAGAACACGCTGCCCGGGACAGAAGAGTGTCCCCTCTCCCGATCAGGAGTGTTCCCTGCAGTACACACCCCCGCCCCCTAGTAAAACACTCCCCTCACACAGATAACCCTTGCCTGCAAAATAAAGTTAACCCCTTCCTCCCCAGTGCCATTAGTACAGTGTCAGTGTTTTTTTTTTTGCACTGATCACTGTATTGGTGTCACTGGGGATGTCAGTGACCCCAAGTCAGTACCCCCCAATGTCAGAATGTCCGCCGCAGTCCCGCCATAAGTACCTGATCGCCGCCATAAGTCCCTGATCGCCACCATTATTAGTATAAAAAAACCCTAAAAATCCCAGTATCTTTCCCGCCATTTGTAAACGCTATAAACTTTCACGTAAACCAATTAATTTACACGTATTGGGTTTTTTTTTTTTAACAAAGACATGTCACAGAATGCATTTTGGCAGAAATTTATGACTAAATTTGATTTTTAAATTTTTTTTTACTGAACATGTTTTATAGCAAAAACTAAAAAATATTGTTTTTTTTCCTCAAAATTGTCAGCTTTTTTTTTATAGCGCAAAAAATAAAAACCGCACAGGCGATCAAATACCACCGAAAGAAAGCTCAATTTGTGGAAAAAAAAAAGGATGTAAATTTCATTTATGTACCGTATTGCATGACCGCACAATTGTCCGTTAAACTAGCACAGTGCTGTATAGCAAAAAAATGCCGTAAATTGCAGTATCTATACCATAGTTTGTAGACGCTATAACGTTCACAAAAAGCAATCAATATACACTTATTGGGATTTTTTTTTACCAAAAACATGGAGCAGAATACATTTTGGCCTAAATTTATAACCAACTTTGAGTTTACTATATATTTTTTTTATAGCTGAAAGTAAAAAAAATATTGTTTTTCTTCAAAATCTTTGGCCTTTTGTTGTTTATAGCGTGAAAAATAAAAAGCGCACAGGTGATCAAATACCACTGAAAGAAAGCTCTATTTGTGTGAAAAAAAGGACGTAAATTTAGTTTGGGTGCAGCATTGCATGACCGTGCAATTATCAGTTGAATTAGTGCAGCGCCGAGTAGCAAATAGAGGCCTGGTCATTAAGTGGGGTAAATCCTCTGGAGGTCAAGTGGTTAAAGTGTGAAAAACACTGTGCTGTCGTCTAATACAAATAGTGATGGGGATGGAAATGATGATATGGAAAGCTTAGTAGGGAGGGAGGGGGAAGAAGAGGAAACCCCTGCACTAGCCAGAAGTAGGGTCCACTAGGAAATCGGATTGCAGGACAAAAGTGGAGGGGCCCAGGTCGGGCAGATATAGTTTATATTTGAAGGCAATTGTCAATTACGTCTTTGTGGTTTTTACCTAGGTGGAAGGAACTGCTGGAAGAAGCCACAAAAAATGCGATGAAAAACCCATCTTCTTCCATCAAACGTGGTACTCATGGGCTGGCCCACACAAGGATGCCATCTGTCGGGTAAGCTTTGATGCTCCATAAAATTAGCTGCCTGTGGGGAGATCCTTACCTGATAACAATAGAGAATAAACAGATCTGCCCACCTTCATCAAAGCTGCTGAACCTGCCTTGACTTTTATGACCGACTCATATGACAAATGACTTTAGCAGAGGTGTAAGGAAAGGACTGTTCTTTTTTTGTACAAAAGCAGATTTTCTAACCTGCTTGTAAACCTTTGGAAATGATAGTAAAGTATTCTGACTGCTGCGTGGATCTTAAATATGTTTTTACAGAGATTGTCCCAGATATGTCAGATGAATCAGGATGCAAGTTGGGTGTTCCATGGCATGTGCTACATATATACATAAAGGTGTCTAGGGTATGTCGTGCTAATGGGTGCCAGAGAGGAAGGAAGGAGATTTGAAAGTAAAAACACATTTTCTATCTGCATAGTTACATAGCTAGTCAAGCTGAAAAAGACAAAAATCCATCTAGTCTGGCTGAGAAAAGACAAAAGTTCATCCAGTTCAACCATAAAAAAAATAAATGTTATATTCCAATATATATGTATATATATATATATATATATATATATATATATATATACAGTGGGGCAAAAAAGTATTTAGTCAGCCACCAATTGTGCAAGTTCTCCCACTTAAAAAGATGAGAGAGGCCTGTAATTGGTATCATAGGTAGACCTCAACTATGAGAGACAAAATGAGTAAAAAAATCCAGACAATCACATTGGCTGATTTGGAAAGAATTTATTTGCAAATTATGGTGGAAAATAAGTATTTGGTCAATATCAAAAGTTCATCTCAATACTTAGTTATATATCCTTTGTTGGCAATGACAGAGGTCAGACGTTTCCTGTAAGTCTTCACAAGGTTGGCACACACTGTTGCTGGTATGTTGGCCCATTCCTCCATGCAGATCTCCTCTAGAGCAGTGATGTTTTGGGGCTGTCGCTGGGCAACATGGACTTTCAACTCCCTCCAAAGGTTTTCTATGGGGTTGAGATCTGGAGACTGGCTAGGCAACTCCAGGACCTTGAAATGCTTCTTACGAAGCCACTCCTTCGTTCCCCGGGCGGTGTTTGGGATCATTATCATGTTGGAAGACCCAGCCACGTTTCATCTTCAATGCCCTTGCTGATGGCAGGAGGTTTGCACTCAAAATCTCATGATACATGGCCCCATTCATTCTGTGCTGTACATGAATCAGTCATCCTGGTCCCTTTGCGGACAAACAGCCCCAAAGCATGATGTTGCCACCCCCATGCTTCACAGTAGGTATGGTGTTCTTTGGATGCAACTCAGAATTCTCTCTCCTCCAAACACGACGAGTTGTGTTTCTACCAAACAGTTCTATTTTGGTTTCATCTGACCATATGACATTCTCCCAATCCTCTTCTGGATCATCCAAATGCTCTCTAGCAAACTTCAGACGGGCCCGGACATGTACTGACTTAAGCAGGGGGACACGTCTGGCACTGCAGGATCTGAGTCCCTGGCGGCGTAGTGTGTTACTGATGGTAGCCTTTGTTACGTTGGTCCTGAGAGGCAATCGGATATTCCCTGGATCAACTTTACCTGCATAGTTATTATCAGTGGGCAAACAGTAGCTTATAGGAAGCTGATTCAAAATGAACCATATTGGCTGCCATTGCTGATTTGTCATTTTGCAAATACAGTTTTCTTGGCTGCTGTTTTGACATATTTCCTCCCAAAACGTTAAGTCACTAGCTGAAGTAAGTATGCAGGTAAGGATTCCTGATTTCTGTAATGTTACCTTCCTGAGCTAGATACTTGTTCTAGATGTGCGACTCAAAGTGTTGAAGGCCAAGGGTCAGTACAACAGCTTGGCGGCTAATATTTACAGGTCCACAATGGCAGCTCTAGTGTTTCTCCTAGAACACCTTTTCTTTTTTTTTCTACTTTATCATTTTTATTGAAAAGATCCCCAGAGGTAGAGAAACAATGTAAAGGTTGTAAAATGTAGACCTTCCACAAATTACAAACAAAACCAGGTACTGAGTCATATAATAAGTGATGGATAGTGCTACAGAAATAGAAATAGAAAGAGCCTCAGCTTGATTCATCCAAGCCATGTTTCCAACATGATTCATCCTGCTTTTATCTGCAAACCACTGAATGTTGGGGCACTGTGTCAGAAAAAACTATCTCCCTCCCCTTCAAAAAAATTGAACAATAATCTGCACACTTACCCCAAGCATAAATTCCCTTTTCAAGCCTAAAATTATTTTTTGGTACTCCTGCCAGCATGTAGATAGGCACTCTCATGCAGTGCCCCCCACCTCAGATGATACCATAGCGCCCAGGGCAGCCATCCCTCCTGCCCACCCCTTGTCCCAGCCCTGCTACTGGTCATCAGAAGTGATCATTGGAAGTCGTTGGAATCACAGACAGCGAGGAAAGCCTGTCAACAGGCAGACTCGATGAACCACTTGTTTTTTTTCTGCCGTCACTTTTCTATGTTTCTATGTCTGGTTTTAATACCTCTTGGACTTTAAATTGGTGCAAGTTCATTTTATGACTCTCAGACTGAATAATGCTCAGCTATCACATAAGTCAACCCACTAGCTCTTTGTCAGGAGTTAGTTATTTTCAAAGAATCGATAACGTATGTTGTCCAGTTTTCATTTTCAAAGTAATAAAGCAATGACATTCTGTCTTGACATATTGCCCTTGTTACTTGGTTTTTCAGTTCAGTGCTACAGGATACTGTTGCCATACGAAGCAATAGTGAAGATATTTCAGCGGGTAAGTTGTACATATAACTTACTGTTTGTGTTTAAGTTTCATACACAAGCACTTTTTGAGGTTACATTCACCTTTGAAACCCTGACTATGACTCTACTCCACTCAAAAAATATACTGCTATACTTGAAAAAAATACATGTGCCATAATCCATATCCAATATAAATATACAAAAAGGATATTTTCTTGTATTAAAAAAAACCCCAAAAAGACATATAACAATCCTTGGCCAAGGATTGAAAGGTTAAAATTACATTCACATTTCGGTGTAGTGTATTCAGGTGATTTTAATATTGCATATTTATGTGAACTTTATTATTTTACTGTCACATTTTATATGCTGTTCCCTGTTTTCATGTTTTATTGGATCTTTTCTCCTGTACGTGTACATTGGGGGGAGCGCTCAGTGTCTCTTATACAGAAGAGTAGTGGAATTTTATGAATATTACAATTTCTTCTGCAGTTATAGCAATTATAGGATTTCTAAGCCCAAGAACAAAATGTAAAATATTACAGTAAAATATATAAAAGTCTGATATATTGCAGTAGCAGTCTTGGGTGCAGTGGCTGCATTAGTTTTCAAGAACATTCTCAGCAAATATAGAAAATAAAATTACATTAATATCATCAAATATCATCAAAGAAATGGTCATGTCTATGCACTTTTAGTTAAATAGTGGTGTTGTTCAGTTATTTGGTTAGTCGCCTTTTCTTCCTTCCTCTTTCTTTTTTCCTTCTTCCTCCTTCTAAGTTCTTTATTCTTCCTTCTTTCTTCCTCCTATCTTCTTCCTTCCTTCTTCTTTTTCCTCCTTCTATCTTCTTCCTTCCTCCTTCTATCTTCTTCTTCCTTCCTCCTTCTATCTTCTTCCTTCCTCCTTCTATCTTCTTTCTTCCTCCTATCTGCTGCCTTCTTTCTTCTTCCTTTCTTCTTTCTTCTTCCTTCTTTTTTCCTCCTATCTTCTTATCTCCTCCTTCTTCCTCCTATCTTTTTTCTTCAAACATGTCAGGTCATGGGTAGATTGGCTTTCCATAGCCTAGCACTAACATACTGTCCATGTGTCCCTGCAGATGACAGTCACAATGACTTCTTGGTTCACTCTCACAAACCTGACGTTCTCTTGGAGGAACCAGAAGGAATGGAAGAAGATGAGGCCCAGACGCCAACACAGGTGCCCTTCCCCTCTAAAGTGGAGGATGCAGGAGGCGGGGTGGAGGACCAATCAGATCTGAATTACCAGTGGCCTTCAGTGACCGAGGGTTTAGCAGAATCTGCTCTGGAAGATGGTGAGCTAATGACAAATCACACACCATATTGTATTCTTCTTCTAACCCTTCTATGCCGCAGTAACCCATATGTGTGGCGGCAAAAAGCTGGGCTTTAACGCTCATGCCATGCACATGCGTTGATAGGCAGGGAACGTTTATGTGTTGGGGGCACGCTGTGCACTACTGAGCTGCTGAAAACGGCTCCCGGTCCCTTGAAGACATCAGTAGCTGGTGGGACTAGCTTTCGATCATGTGACCACTGTGACACAGTCACAGTGATCACATTATTGCTGATTCTTCCCGCCTCCCCTGGGTGTTAACTTTTAAAGGGGACACGAGGGTGAGCACAAAGGGGTTAAAGCTGAACTGCAGATGAAATACATCTGAGAGAGCTTATACCTACCAAAGGAATTTTCAATGTTTCCTGTAGACTGTCTAATGTTACAACCTTCACCTAACCCTAAGCAGTTGGCATTTAAAATGAATAAATAAATACTACCCAAATAGTATTCAAATTGAAAATAAATGGTGAGCGCTATAGAGTTGGGAGCAGCTTGCACAGAAAGAATGTGACAAAATCTAAATACCTATATAAATAACAAAACAGTGCAGCACATAAATATCTAAATGAATGATATTCCAAATCAATAACTGAAAATATACAAATAAATACTTTCCAAAAGTGCAAAAAAAAACCAAAAAAAATTATATATAACATTCCTTCAAATGTGAATCTATATGCATGCAGTGCCAATCAAGACAGACTGTGTTCAATTCCACCAAGTGCTCCTTTCCAGTGCGGGGTCCTCCACTGCTATGCACTCACCAGAAAGCTACGCACATGGTCAATAGCATGTAACTCCTAGCCAAGAGATCCTAATCATCCACTCTCCAGCGCCGTTACAGACCTGGCTAGGACTTTGGAAAAAGATGCTCACCACACGGAGCCCCAGAATTTGTATATAGTGTGGTAATTTAATGATCATAAAATCAATACATATAAAATATTCCACGTGGAACAATCTCAATCACACATACCACAATGGCACACATAGGCTTCCCCAACGCGTTTCGTGCACATGCACGTCCTGTGATTACACAGCTCTTACACACAGCACAGCCATGTCTAGCAAAGCAGGATACCTGATTTTTCTGGTGCAGTTTAATGACATTTATGGATCTGGACACTCCCCAGGCCTTGAAATGAGAAGCATCAGACTGATGAGCTGATTTCTCTGTCACTATGCTCTCTATGGTTAGTGTGTTTCTTGTAGGCAAACAAGCACTGCAGTACAATTGATTAGCCTCATGTGCTGCTTTTCCCCCTCCCAGTATATGTTCTGCTGTATAGTGGATTACACGAAGGTGACACAAAAGGGTCTACTTATAAAACATTGGTTGCAAGCATGTCGTAAGCATTCATGTACGCTGTGACCATAGTTTTTGTAAGGCATTGTTTTTTATTTTTTATTCTTTTCTTTGGACATGATTGAATATTCTTTGCAGAGTGAACTGTCACCTGGCTTCATGTAACTCACTCAAGTGGAAAAACACGCTCTTCTCCTTTTAGTGAATAACCCTCATAGTGTTTATCTCCTACCAGATTTGTCACAAATGAAATTACAATATATGAGAAAACATTGGGGTTTATTTACTAAAACTGGTTCTCTCAGAATCCTGTGCACTTCTGCGTAGAGACCAATCAGCTTACAGGTTGTATTGCTAAAGCCAAACTGAACAAGCTGAGGTTAGAAGCTGATTGGCTATCATCCACAGGTGCATGAGATTCTGAGTGAACCAGCTTTAGTAAATGAACCCCATTGTATATAGAAAAGTAAGGCTGGATATAGATGATGCAATTTTGTGGTTGCAAAAAAGAAAATCACTTGATTCTCCCAACAACACAGTCAGTGTTAATGGGGTAATCCTTCTTGTGGAGCTATTGTGTTCTCCCTGTGGCGAGAGGGGGAAAGGGGGCGCAGGGAGCCCCCCCTGCCAGGTGGACCCAATGTTTATTGCTAGCGCCTGCCCAGTGGTGTATTTAGGTTTTGTGCTGCCCTAGGCCACACAAAAAATCTGCTGTCCGTCTTATTATTTATCAAACTAACTTTATTTCAGGTACTTATATAGCGCCGTCAATTTACGCAGCGCTTTACATATATATTGTACATTCACATCAGTCCCTAACCCTCAAGGGGCATACAATATAAAGTCCATAACTCACATTCATACATACTAGGGACAATTTAGACAGGAGCCAATTAACCTAATAGCATGTCTTTGGAGTGTGGGAGGAAACCCACGCAGTCACAGGGAGAACATGCAAACTCCAGGCAGGTGGTGCCGTGGCTGGGATTCGAACCAATGACCCTAGTACTGCCAGGCGGAAGTGCTAACCATTTAATTTAACCAGCTAACCAACTAATGCTTTGCACATCATGCCTGTTGATGACCTTGTAATAAATTGTGTGTCTTCCTTTTAGTTCAGCATCTCAGGGAGCTGATCCTTCGGAGCCTTTACCCCTTAAGGAATTCAGATTATGATGTTGCCCCTGTGGCTGAGCCTGAGGATGATGTCACACCCACTCCATCAGTCACCGGTGGGGCTGGACACACGTGGGAAGCAACGGCGGACTCAGCATTAGAGACTTTGGATGGAGATATTTTGGCTGATCACCGGGAGGATCCACCCTCAAGACCTTCTAGTGTTTCAGAAAGTGTTAGGTCTGTGGTGGACCTCACTAACCAGCACAGGAGAACTTCTAATGATGGAGAGGAAAGTGTTTGGAACCTGGTGGAGAGTCACCCGCAAAGGACTTCTGCCCTGCCCTCTGAGACATCTGAAGCTGCTTCTGAGGACCAAACTAACATGAGCTACAAGGTTGTCAGGAAAGGTAAGAAACATTAGGCACTTTCACTTGAGTTTTAGACTTTAGTCTTCTAGGTGACTTTTATGCAGGATCTAACAAAAAGATATAATAAACAATTATGTCTTTGAAAAGGATTACGTTTTCTTAGATGCTTCATAGTTGTGTTTTTTTGTGTTATTTCAAATTTGGATTGTAGTGAGAATTTTGTGTTTGAAAGTACAGATTTGTTTCACTGCTTCCCAAAATTCCACTATGTGTTGCTCATCAATTTGTGCCCCATTTTATAGGCAACCTGTAATTCCATGTTAACACCATTCATTAGGGATCTGTTACATGGTTACATTTCTGTTTGGCAGATAGGGATCTAATAACGTTACTACACCCAGGAGTCAAATGGCACATCTCTGCTGGAGGCTTTGTTCTACAAATACAGAGCTCTATATTAAGAGGAAGTGCAGAGGATCACCCAAGATCTCTGAAGAGCAGATTGGGGAATGTCCCTCCTTTTGGTAACCTTTAACAAAGACATTCCCAAGCAATGTTATTTGCCCCCCAAGGGGGTATATTGACAGGTTTTGGGGCTACCTCTGCTTGGACATTTTGACTTTCTCCCCTTCTTCCCATACAGCTTTGGATGCCTTAGTGGCTATTCATCAGGCCTGAATGCTAGGGAAAATGTGGGGGTCGTTAACCTTTGAAAGCTTCATACCAGAGCTAAAACAAAACAAACAGGGATTTTGGAGGGGCCTACAGTAGGTGGACAGGGTGTCAGATGAGCCAGTGGAAACTAATTATTATTAGTAGAGGGGGCAACCTATCCAATGAAGCTGTTACTTTGCCCTGAAGAGGGTAAAACATTTAGGACTTAAACTGGGTGTACAGTAGTGGAATTTCATTTGACATTTTGTATTGTAAAAATGTTGTAAGGACATTGTAAGAAGGTTTGTTTTTGCTAATCATTAGTGGGACCAAATTGGTGTTTGTTTTCTACTGAAGTGATGAAAAAAAATTGTCTTGAATGTACAAATTTCTAAAAGTGTATGTGGTTTAGTAAAGTCCATTCATTCCAAAATCAAATGTTAAAAGCAAACAAAATCTTGAACTACTTTTCGAATGGCATTCAAATATACTGAGAATTTTCATTTGAAATTCTACTAGTGTATACCCAGCTATATTAGAATTAACTATACAGAAGGTGATTGAGGAAAGTTGACCAATTCCAGGTGGTAGTTGCAGACATTTATAAAGGAGCATATATTTGTATAAAGTTGGGAAGCATTGCCCAAACACATATAGCAGATAGCTACTGTAACTCCTAACTAAACTAGGCCATCCTTGGTTACTGGTCCACCAAAAGACTTCACAGACCACAGACCAGATTGTCTTTATGTACCATTGACACTGAAGAAGGCCACAACGTGGCCCATACACATGATTGTAGCTTATGCCTTACTTGCATCACTTTAATACTTATATAGATTATTTGGAACATTTAATAATTTTGCCTTCTCTTTTACATTGGTAAATCCGGGCACATAATAGTAATTGGTGATACATGTTACAAAACTCTACTACTGCTTGCAATGTCAAAGGTACAGTTGTCCACAATACTTGTATTATTAGAGGTCTGTTGAGAAAGATTGTTTGAAATTTTATGGTTTCATTTCCCCATAATATACTTTAAAACACTGTCCGTTTTATCCCCTCTGTGTTCCATTGTGGAAATTTCCTTTCGCTTCCAACAGGAAGCAAGATGAATTTTTTTCAAAGTGAGGAAAATCCTCTTTTAGACAGTTGACACCACAACAAGCATTTCTATTGGAAGATTTCCCCTTTTTCCCCCTTTCCAGTGATGACATAAAATGTTGGTTTTTCCCTCACTTTCAGTCCCAGTGACAATGGTCACAGGATAAATGGAGAGTAAATCTCCCCACTGGGGACACAGACAGTGATACAACTAGAGAATCTATCCAAAACTAAAAAAGAAAAGTTTGAGCATTACACCTACATACACCTAAAGAAAACATTGCTTAAAAATTGCATTGTTTAGGGGCAGTGTAAAAATGGTGGAAACCATTTTTTTTTTCTCATTCGTTGAGGGACACAGGTAATCTTTAACCTTTGGTTTATACAGCAACCTACAGGAGATTTGGACACTACCAATCAAACTATAGGCCAGCCCAGGATAACCCTTCCTATTACCAGCATGCCTTGGTTCTTTACTAGTGTCCTAGGAGGATTTACATCTTTTCTTCAGCTCTACCATGTGGAAATCTAACTTATTTCTGCTAGAACACTTTTTTCTTGCTTCAATCAGGATACATCTCTACATTACTGCTAGAGCTTGTACCCGAAACTCCAGAAATTGTTGCTTGAACTTATTGTTTGTAGTATCTGGGTATAGTTCTGGACAGCTCAGGCTAGAATGTTTCTTGCCATTACCTTGAGTGCAGGTGCTTCCAGGTGAAGCAGTCTGCTTTCTGATTGTCTACATCTGGGATGTATGCTGTGGACCAGGGTAGAACATGAACTTCTGCCCAATGCAGGATCCAATCTACCTCTCTTGCCATAACAGGACTTCTGTTTTTTTCCCTGATGGTTGATGTACACCACTGCATTGGCTTTGTGCAACTGAATTTGCATTGGATTAGTTTCCAGTAGAATGTTTCAAGCTGTAGAGAAAACCAGTAGAATGGTTTGATGCTGTAGAGGCCTGTCAGAGCAAGGAACTTAGTCACTGCAGAAATCTCATCTTCTGATTGACATCCTGAAGCTTTGGGAGGTTTGGCTGTCTCTACAGCATTGAACCAGTCTACTGAAAGGTAACCTGATCTAAATTCAGTTGGGTATTCCAAGACCTGTGGTACAGGTGGGGGATGATGGAGTTTTCCAGGTTCAAAAACAAATTGGAAAGTGTTGTCTCCAAAAACAGAGATTCCCTTATGCAAGCAGTGGATGCTCTGGTGGCTACGTCGGATCAGTATACCCTGACCTATGCCTTTCTTTCCAAAATTTCTTCCTCATCTGATTTGCAGGTTTGAGATTGAGGGCATTCTGGTGGTCTTCGTCATTCCGACTGGCCCAGGCAAATGTGACAGGGGCACCTGGTAAGACTCCATGTGCTCTTCCAGATTGTCAGGTTCCTCTGTCTCAAGGATTGATTTTCCATCCTGCTTAATGGTTGCTGACTTTAGCAGAATGGCTGGCTGTTAATGCCTAGATTTGAGAGACAGGGGCATTTCTAAATATGTGATTCCTACAATGATAACTAGGAAGGCTACATCTTGCAAGGTCTATTATTGGACATGGAACACATGCTTCACTTGTGTGAGTTTTGGGGCATTCATCCTAGGAGTTTCTCCATGGGATGAATCCGATCTTCCCTGTAGCTGGGTCAGGACCAGGGTTAGGCTCTCAGCATTTTCCAAGTTCAGGTTTTTGTCTTTTCTATCTTGTTTCAGAGATAATTGGCCTCTCAATCCTTGATTAAGGCCTTTTTACAGTGGGTCTCCTATGCAGTTCCCCCCATTCTTTCCCTTGTATCTCTGTGCGATCTGAATCTGGTTACGGTATGTCTGCTCTTCAGAAACTGTAGTTTTGGCCCTTTAGATACATTCTTCTCTACTATCACCACAAGTTGCTATTTCTTGTAGCTATCACCTCTGTGAGGCAAGTGTCTGAGCTGGTGGCCTTATCTGGCAAGTAACTTCTTCTGGTTTTGCAAAGGGACAAGATGTTGTTGTAATCCAGGACTTCCTCCTTGTATAAAATAGTTTCTGCCTTTCACCTCAACCAGCATATCATTCTTACGTCCCCTTATTCAAGTCCCAAAAAGAAATGTACCTCCATTGTCTGGTTTTGATTCATGCTGTGAAAGTCATGTATATCTCTCAGCCTTTCTTTCGGGAAGACTGATTCCTTTTTTGCCTCCCAAATGGTAAGGGTGCCCCAGCTTCTTGCTTCACCATATCTAGGTGGGTGAAACAGGCCATCATCCAAGCTCAAGTTCGCAAGCATCAGGTTTTACCCTTTCCTGGCAAGGTGTTTTCTACTAGGTTTTTGAGTGCTTCTTGGGTTTTTAGACATCAAACAATTGTTTCCCAGATCTGAAAGGCCGCCACCTGGTCTGTTCACACATTCTTTAAGATGTTTTGGCTTCATCTGATGCTCAAAGGCTAAAGACATCCTGTGTCCCTCATTAGATTACAAGAAAAGGATTTTATGGTGAATTCTCTATGTTCAACTTTTTGGTTTATTTTTCATTATTGTTGAAATATAATAATGATTGAAAAAATTACACTGAGCAGGTTTGTAGAGTGCTGTTGAAACTGACATGTTGAACATTTATATACCCTTTTATTTACCCTAAGACTATTGAGTCTTATGGACCTACTTATTCCCCTTGTCTGTGCCTAGTCCCTTCTGTTCTTTCCAAGTTTCTCCCTATTTCTGTAGCCTTTAATTTCTTCCTATATCCTTTTTTGCCCCTCCTGTCTTTCTTATGTGCTTTTATTATTTATTACCTCTCTCTGACTTATTTCTTTTCCTACTTTTCCTGTGTAGACCATACCATTCCTGCAGGAAACTGATCTAAGTTTCCATATTTAAAAAGCTGAGTGTTCAACTAGTGTGGGGGGGAATGTCTATGGACATCTGTTAGATTTGAAATCTCAACCACAGTGGAAAAACAAATGTTAATAAATTAACTAATCCAAGGGCTGTCCTACCATATATATGCAGTAGTTAAATTGTATTGAATGTGTGTGTCTCTATCACATTGATTTAGTCACAACTTTATCAATCTCCTTATATCACCTACAGTGAATCATTCTTCCTCAGAGTTTTCAATCAAATGTGCACACTAACGTTCTTTCAGCTGATTTTCTGTTTTATCTTCTAAATTTTATTTTTGTTTTGTCTTTCCACCATATTCCCCCCTTCCTTTTTTTTTTTTTTTTTTTACTTTATGTTCTTTTTTTATTTTATTTTCTCTTTTTCTGGTGTCTTCTGCACAGCTGAGGTGGTGGGCAATAATGATGTCATACCGTTGCCAGACAGCAGCCAATCAGACAGAGTGTTGCAGGAAGCTGGCGGCAGAACAGTTTTAGATGGTAATTCTTTTTGAGTTGTAAGAATGGCCAGGAGACGAGGCGGATATAGTTACCGAGATGATGCATTGCTGTCTAATCTCTTGCCATCGCTCTTCGCATACAGTGGCATCACCCTTTGTACCCAAAGTTCACTCTGAACAGCTTTTGAAAATATATAAATTACTTAAAAATATATATGTAAAACTTCCCTCAATTTTTTAAAGTCAGCATTTCAGTGGTGGTATTGTTTTATCAGTTTGGACAAGCTGATTTTCTTTTGAAATTTGAACAAGCGGTGGAAAATTGTTTTGATTACTTTATTATTGTGTATAATAAAGTGGTCATACGTTTTGTACTTTTTTTTTTTTCTTTTGAAGTTTTTTTTTTTTTTTTTTTTAAATCATTAGGGGAACCTTGCACTAAAGTAAAGTAAGGTCTACTTATGTGGCTGTCACCCTTCCTGATTACAAAATACCAGATTAAAGCAATAAAAAACTCTTGCTAGATCCTGGGAAAGCTGCTGACATTAGCATTCAACACTGAATGCAGGAAACTATCGGAATGTGGAGAGTAAGGTGAGTATTTTTTGTTTTCTTTTAAAAAAAAATTTCTTTGCTTTTAATCCAATGTTTTGTCATCGGGATGGTGGACTGATAACTAAGCAGACCTTGTCTTTTGGTACAAGGTCCGCTTTTAAGGCAAAACCATTTGGGATTTTTGGTGTAATTTTTGGATGTTTCTGCTTTGAGAACCAGAGACTGTCATGATTGGTGAATGCAGTTTTTGTTCAAATGACAAAAGCAAAAATCATTTTAAAAGTGGCTTTGCTTATTTCTGTTATTTCACAAAGTTCTTAAATATAGTAATAAGAGCCACAATTTCAAGTTTTTCCTAAATATTATCAAACTTTAGGGCCTTTGAGGGACGTTTTACTTTATTTTCTGCTAAATTTTACCAGATCTGCCTATTGCTTGATCATCTTGCTAATACCTATTGTCTACGTCATATGTACAAGGAGTCCTGTGATCAACACTATACATTAGCAGGCAGCTTTTGACTTTTTTTTTTAATTTTTGTTTAACATTTTTGTCCACCCAAGTTTGAGTAGTATTTTTTTTTCAAATGGTCACTAAGCTGTTAATAAATTGAGAAAGGTTCAGTACATACAGAAAGAATGGGGTCAGTGAAGTGAGGTTGTTTAGATCGCAAAAGTAGAACAATAGTTATAACTTACAAGGATATTAAAAGGCTCTAAACCTAATGAGAAGTCAGTGCCATTCATGGAATGTAGTTCTATGCAGTGCGCAAGATATTAAAATCCAAATTTACAGTATATGGCCAAAGGTTGGTGGATGCTTCACCATCACATCTCACTGTACTACCAAAAGTATATAAACATCCCTTTAAATTATTGAGTTCAGGTGTTTAAAGTGCAGGGTACTGTTAATGTTATAATTTGGGAAAGCCCCTTTTCTAATTCAGCATGACAGGCCTTTGTTCACAAATCCAGCTCCATAAAGTCACGGCTGAACAATTAATATACAGGAACTTGAGTGGCCTGCATTGAATCCTGACCCCCGACCCTATTTAACACTATTGAGATGAGTTTGAATACCAATGGCAAGCTAGGTCTTCTCAACCAACATCAATAGCTAACATTACAAATGGTCTTTTGGCTGAATAGGTACCATTTTCCACAGATAAACAACAAATCTTGTGGAAAGGCTTCCAAGAAGAGTAAACGCTTTTATAGCAGCATGGGGAATGGGGGGGGGTTGCAGCCATATTGATTCCCATGGTAATGGAATGGGAAGGCCAAGAAGCTCATATAGATGGGATGGTCATAAAGTTGTAGTCATATAGTGTATTTCTCTAAAATAGGAAGCTAATGTAAGAATTATTTTAATTGACAATGTTGATAGCCAGGCTGTGGTCAGTGCTTTACTGAAGCAGCCTTTCAGTTTATACCAGATGATGTGTTTCAGTGAAGGAAGACAAAACAGTCTCTTGTGATGTGGATTGTCAAGACTGTGTCTATGGATTCAGTTGCCATTTGAAAGACAATTCCTAGAAACATATTTTTATAAACCAGAACCCAATACTTTTGTTTTTGCCAATTGCATGCCCATGTTCTAATTCTGTGTCTCTATTAATTAGTAAATACGGATTAAATTAAGTCAAAGTGAATGTGTTGATACTTTTGCTGCCATACATTGCATATGTTATATTTTGGTTCTTGGTGACCAAAATTGGGCATGTTGAATCAGCACAATCTTCACTGATACAAGTACATGCCTATCTCACCCATTACCTAACTTTCACCACGCCATTCCAAATAGTCATGTTTCCTCCAAAAATGCATGAAAACAGTTGCCCTGTCTGCCATTATGGAGCACTTCATCCACCTTCATATTGTTTTCCAGAAAACACGAAAGTTTTCGACTGTCTGCCTGCCTGTTCTTAGAAAATGACCAGCTCAAATAAATGCAAATGTTTCTCAATATTGTGTGTCCTTTTCAAGGGTGATGCCTCATGATCTGCTCATCTAGCTTTGACATTTACTCTTCTCTTCTTTACTTCTGAGGTCTTGTCTTGTAGGCCTCCTAACTTCATGTTTCTACCATATTAACTTTTGGAATGCACAAGTAGTTAAGACCAGTCTAATCTGCTAATGTACCGTTTTTGACTACTCAGTACAATTTGCTAAGTGAGTAATTCAGATGGCATCTAAATTCTTCCATCATCCCTTTCTGCCAGAAGTCCCATTCTTGCAAGACTATATGGTTGTTGCATGTGTTTAATCATCAAAATAGTGTTCCACTACATGTCTCTCACCTGTTCCTTTCTTCATCCTGAAAACTAGGAAATGTATTTTATGTGGTCATGCCAACTGTTCCGGCATTCCCTCCACATGAAGAAGAGCGGCCTAGAGAAACACAGGAATCTAGGGAATACATCCAACCGATGGGAAGTCCATCTTTGCCAAAATCCCAGGAAACTCACAAGATCCAGGCTTGCTCTTCAGATGCTAGCAGCCCCCCAGCACGAAGCTCAGAAAGTGATGTTTTGCACTCTGATTTGGCTCCAAATCTGGTTATTCAAGATGTTGATATGATCTTCCAAACGATTAAACAGCTAACGGCCAAATTACAAAGGTTACAGGTAAATACCTTGTCACTTTTCGCAATTTTATTATCGGAGTTAAAATTTTTGTGAATTGTAGTGGCATGCTTTAGAGTCCACTAAATTATTAGGACAGTATTTTATCCTTTATGTACACCTGAAATGTCATTACCGCTGTCCATAGATTAAAGGAGTGGAGTCTCTAAAGCATTTGCACCAGCAATCAGCAGATCACTAGATCCATGCAGGTCTCCACCCTGACCTGTCAGTATATCTGCTTGCTCATACATCCCATACGAGCAAGCAGATTCTACTGACAGGAAGGCTCAATAAACTACCACAGCACTTTGGAGCACCGTGGTGGTTCATTGAAAACTACAAGCTGACAGCCACAAAGGCTGCTGGGATTTGTAGTTTTCCCATTCACACAATGCTGTGAATGAATGATGCTGCTTGGCCACATCTTTTTTAAATTGTGACAGCTAGCAGGGAGGAGAAGATCCCCCGCTAGCTGTCACAGCGGGAGATTGGGGGCAGTCAGATTGTAACATTTTACATATTACACCCTGAATATGAGTGTAACATGTTAGGAAAGGTGAACTTTCCCTTTTAAATGTGGGTTGATGTGATGCCTAGCATCATTCAACCCATTTATTATGAGTCCAGGACTTGGGTGAAAAAAAAAAAAGCTGCTTATATAAGTGCTACCCTTTATTCTTCCATTAATGATGGATTTAGTCATGTGCTAGGAAGTCTTTTTAAAGTGGTTTCTGGCATAATTAAGTCACAAAAAAATCAGAAACATAATATGAATAAAGAAGAAGACAAGAAGAAATGAAAGGAAGAAGGGGGATGGAGTATATTGTGACTAAGGGTTACTGGTTTAAAGAAAATAATATGTACAGCATATGATAAGAAGGCAAGCGTCCAAATTACGAAGCAACTAATATTAGACCCATGGGTCCCATATTTTTAAAAATGCAGGCATTGTATTTAAATGCAAATTCCAGTTATCACTGTTTTTGTATAGTTGCATTAGTCCAGCTTGGACCAGTGTAATTGTATTTGTGCCATACCTAGTCAATCCCCATGAAAACTGGAGGTCAGTGTAGTAGGCACCATTACTACATTGTTAGTTGAATCCAGGTCTTGTGCTGAACGGGTGTCCTGCTGCATTGTGAACAAAGAAAGTTGCTCACTTGGCATGGATGCCATTCAGAGAACACTTTGAATTTTCTTTAGCATTCCGTCCTTGAATGAGGTGGTGACCACTGCCCTGCGTCTCCACCTTGTCCAATCAGAGAACATTTGCATTCATTGAAAAAATGCAGTGTTCTCTGCTTCCACAGGGCTCAGCCAGATATGGCATGTGCATAATTACATTGGTCCATTGGAGCAGCAGATCGTCGGTGGATCTGTTAGGTGTGTAAGTTTTGAACATAACCTAACCAACCAGGTAAGAGGGGATTGGACAAAAAACAAAATGGGGGTGAAGGGTCCTCTTTAGGTTTAAAGAACTCCAAGCAATGGGGATTTATTATGCAATATTAGGACTAGGAGACCCATGTTGGGCATAAGCCCAACAGTGACTGGTTCTCAAAGTCGACAAAGTTTCTAATCAAAGTCAAAATGGGCACTTCAATTTGCTAGACAATCCTCTATAACAGGGGTAATGAATTAAAAATCAAGGAGGTCCGGTTCCTGAAATTTTCTTGCAGCCAAGGTCCGAATCTCTTTTTTTCAAGTAAAAGAAAAAAGAACCACCTTACATAAGGTGTCCCCATCAAATTACCTCTTAGTTCAGTTGCTCCCATCAGAGTACCCCCTTATATCAGGTGTCCCTATCAGAGTGCCCCCTTAAATCAGGTGTCCCCATCAGATTGCCCTCTTAAATCAGGTGTCCCCATCAGAGTACGCCCTTAAATCAGGTGTCCCCATCAGAGTGCGCCCTTAAACCAGGTGTCCCCATCAGAGTGTGCCCTTAAATCAGGTGTCCCCATCAGAGTGCGCCCTTAAATCAGGTGTCCCCATCAGAGTGCGCCCTTAAATCAGGTGTCCCCATCAGAGTGCGCCCTTAAATCAGGTGTCCCCATTAGAGTGCGCCCTTAAATCAGGTGTCCCCATTAGAGTGCGCCCTTAAATCAGGTGTCCCCATCAGAGTGCGCCCTTAAATCAGGTGTCCCCATCAGAGTGCGCCCTTAAATCAGGTGTCCCCATCAGAGTGCGCCCTTAAATCAGGTGTCCCCATCAGAGTGCGCCCTTAAATCAGGTGTCCCCATCAGACTGCGCCCTTAAATCAGGTGTCCCCATCAGACTGCGCCCTTAAATCAGGTGTCCCCATCAGACTGCGCCCTTAAATCAGGTGTCCCCATCAGACTGCGCCCTTAAATCAGGTGTCCCCATCAGAGTGCGCCCTTAAATCAGGTGTCCCCATCAGAGTGCGCCCTTAAATCAGGTTTCCCCATAAGATTGCCCCCTTAAATCAGGTGTCCCCATCAGAGTGCGCCCTTAAATCAGGTGTCCCCATCAGAGTGCGCCCTTAAATCAGGTGTCCCCATCAGAGTGCGCCCTTAAATCAGGTGTCCCCATCAGAGTGCGCCCTTAAATCAGGTGTCCCCATCAGAGTGCGCCCTTAAATCAGGTTGCCCCATAAGATTGCCCCCTTAAATCAGGTGTCCCCATCAGAGTGCTCACTTACATCAATTGTCCACAACAGAGTGCCCCATCAGAATGCCTCCATACATCAGATGTCCCCATCGAAGTGTCCCCTTTCATTTGAAGAGTCAGAGTGCCCCCATACATCAGGTGTCACCATACATGAGGTTCCCCCATCAGTGTGTCCTTATATCACGTGTCCCCATCAGGGTGCCCCCTTACATCAGGAGACCCCATCAGGGTGCCCCTTTAATCATATTCTCCCATTAGAATATCACCATAGATCAGTAGATTCCAATAGAACCAGGCAGGGGTGGGAGCTGGGAGGAGAAGCGTGCTGCAGGGGATGGGGCACACACGTGAAATCACTGGTTGCTATGATGTCGGAAATCCTAACAACCAATGATTGCAGCTTAGCGAGTTTCCACCAGAGCAGAATGTTGGGCTGTTGGTCCAGACTGGGCTTTCAGTAGGTCCAGATCCGGACTATGGTCCGCCATTTAGTGAAGGCTGCTCTATAACATACTTTTTGTTTTAGGAGGTGGAGTCAGCACATCAGGAGCTCCTAAGGTCTTTGAGGAGAAAACCTCCAGAAGATATGTCTCAGGAGCCTGAGCTAATGGTGGAGGAGGACAAGCAGCCTGAGATACATCACGGGTCCAGCGTCAATAGCAATTCTCTCTTCTTTGTGAAGAACAGTGTGTCTGTGTCAATCCATCGAGACAGTAAGTGGCATATCATAGTAGTTTTTTTTGTTTTCTGCTGTTGTTCATTGGACGGGAGGATGTGAATCATGATAGGTTTTAATCAGTAACCTCTATTATTTTTGTGTTTAGTGAAGGGAGATTTACAGGCCCTGACCCATAGTAAGCATAGTGAATCCTGTTCAACATACTTGTTCAAATTGTATTGATCCAGAAGTCACAGATCAATGCTTAGCGTATTCATACGATCCCCAGTGGCATCCTCAATATTTTAAAGCAGGTTTCCTTTAACCATTGAGGACCGTAAGGTTTTGGAACGCCAAAAGAATCAATTTTTTTGTTTTTAAAGTTTGTACACTTCAGTTTCTGAAACTAAGCCATTTCATGAAATAATTGGCAAAAAGCTAGACCCATTTGTTTGTTGATAAGAACTAATATTTTGACTCAAACCAAAAAAAAAAAAAGAGTTTTAAATTCTTAATCAGGTGATAAACGCAATTACAAACATGGGACAAATACGTCCCTTGGTCCTCAAAGGGTTAAAAGACAACTGTATAACTAGCCTAGGCCTAACAGGTCCCTGACACACAAGCTACCTCTAACTCCTTTTGAATCCCTCAGATCAGCGACCAACTTAGTCCAGGAGTTGCGGCCTATGTTAGCTAGCACTCCAGTCCCCCTCTGATTCCTGGATTCACATGGTTTGGCTCATGGCTTCATAGACCTAATGAAAAACTAGTCTACCTGCAAGCCCGAGACCGCTCCTTCATTAAGACCTATGAAGAATAAGGCACTTCTGAACTTGTGGGTCAACGACTGACTAAGTAGAGAAACAAATATGAAAGGCAACTTCAGAGCATGTTGGCAACGCCCATGTTTATGTTCTGACAGGTCCCCTTTATATGTAACTGATATTGATTTCACTTAGCAGTTGTATAGAGGTAAGTGTTCTTGTAAATTTCACTATTTTAAATGCTTGCTGTCATATATACAATGTTTGGACAAAACCGTTCTGAACACCTGACCATCTCACCTATAACTTGTTAGATGTTCCGCTCCAAAACCATTGGATATTAAAATGGAGTTGCCCCCCTTTTGAGGCTATTACAGCCTCCCCTCTTCTTGGAAGGATTTTTACAAGGTGGAGTGTATCTATGGGAATGTTTGACCATTTAGGCAGTAGAGCATTTGTGAGGTCAGGTTTCGATTAAGACATAGCTAGCATCTGGCTTTCCAGTTCACCCCAAAGAGTTTCAGCAGGGCTGAAGTCAGGTCACTTGAGTTCCTCCACACAAAACCGGTCAAATAATTTATTTATGGTGTAAAAGATTTTCAAAGCCTTGTTTGAAAGTAAGAGGGACCTTGAAAACCTTCTAGGCCTGCCCAGTTACTGTCTATTGTCATGGTGATTTTATACCTGGTCTCCTCCTCCCATGCACGACTGCAAGACTTCTCCAGGTCCTCCCCCATCCTCTGGAACTCACTGCCCCAATCCATCAGATTGTCGCCTTCCCTCCTCACATTCAGGCGCTCCCTCAAAACCCATCTCTTCAGGGAAGCCTACCCCACCCTCACCTAACGGCCATTCTCCCTCTTCCCTCCCACCCCTCATTCCCCTCAGCCACTTCCTACTGTACCATTACCCCCTCCCTCCTAGATTGTAAGCTCGAAAGAGTAGGGCCCTCTTACCCCTCGTACGTTGTTTGTTATTGTTGTACTGTGCCATGTATTGCCCCCCCCCTATTGTACAGCGCTGAGCAAACCCATTGGCGCTTTATAAACTCGATGTAATAATAATAATAATACCTGTAAATTTTTGTTTTAACTTTTAACATTTGTTGTTTTTTTTTTTTTTTTTTTTTTTTTTTTTTTTTTTTTTAGGCCTTACAGATCCACGCGACAATGCTTTAAACTTCCCTATGGGCCTTTAACGTTGTGCACAGATGCCAAAAACTGCTAGGGTCTCTACCACTACTGTTAAAGCTCCTTTCTGCTCAGAGTACCGCCCCTGAGGAGCGGGGCACTTGGCATTCGGGTGCGGATAAACTGCTGCCAGTTTTGGACGAGGGCACTTTACAAATGGAAGCCTGTACTGAATAGCCAAAATAAGACTGACGGGAGAGACAATGTTAAAAACTCTTGGAGGAACAAAAAAAAAAACTGGAATTATTATTTTTGGAAGAAAACACAAAGCATGTTAGCTTAATAAATTATAAAATATATATATATAAATATATGTATAGTTATATACCTATTTAAAGAAAATGACAAACAACAACACTAATAATGGATTGAGTTCTAACAAGGAAAAGGGGTTTGTGGCACCCTGTCCCTAAAACCACGCATGCTGTCGATATGGCTCTCCCACTTAAAGGCCCTGGTGGAAGTGAGACCTCTAGTGGACGGTTTGTGAAGTGGGGAGAGATTCTGTGGCTTGTGATACCCCTCTGCACTGTGGAGAGTCTGTTCTGTAGACAATGCACTATTTCCAATGACAAGAGAAGCCCCTTGCATCTGCACACTGGGCTCCCTCCTTTGTTTTTTTTTTTTTTTTTTGTATAAATATGTATGTATGTGCTTTTTTTTATTTTGTATATAGTTTTTTTTTTTTTTCTCCGCCCTCTCTTCCGACTTGTAATAAAATAGGCTTTTTACCACTGCTGTTTTCTATCAAGTCAAAATACAGTTAAAAAAAATGATGCATTGTGTATAGTATGAAATGTTAAACTGCTACGTACTTCTGATAAGTATGAGTTTTTTCAGTATTATAAAGGTTACCTAAAAATATTTGTTTTTGTCTTGGATAAAGCAAGGAAGCCTTCATCAGGTTTACATTACCGAAATGTAGGAAACAGTTGAGGGAGGGGCCATAACAATGGTGACCAAGTCCATACTGATATTTTATTGAATTATTAATGTAATTAAAGGACCAACGCATTTCGGGAGTCAAGCCCTGATGCTATATTACCCACAGATGTTAATAGTCGATGGAAGATCTACAGTTTCTTCAACGTAGCCTGCACTCAAAGAGATTTGGAGATTTATATACAGTTGCAAGAAAAAGTATGTGAACCCCTTGGGATTACGTGGAGTTTTGCATGAATTGGGCATAAAATGTGCTCTGAACGTCATCTAAGTCACAACAATAGAAGAACACAGTCTGCTGAACATAATACTACACAAACATTAGATGTTGCCATGGTTTCATTGCACATAACATGTAAACATTCACAGTGCAGGGAGGAAAAAGTATGTGAACCTTTGGACTTAATAACTGGTTGACCCTCCTTTGGCAGCAATAACCTCAACCAAACGTTTCCTGTAGTTGCAGATCAGACCTGCACAACGATCTGGAGTCATTTTGGACCACTCTTCACAAAACTGTTTCAGTGTAGCAATATTCTTGGGATGTCTGGTGTGAATCGCTCTCTTAAGGTCATGCAACAGCATTTCAATCGGGTTGAGGTCAGGACTCTGACTGGGCCACTCCAGAAGGCGTATTCTGTGCTGTCGCAGCCATTGTTTTGTTGAATTACTTGTATGCTTTGGGTCATTGTCCTGTTGCATCACCCATCCTCTGCGGAGCTTCAGTTGGCAGACAGATGGTCGTACGATTTCCTGCAAAATGTCTTGATAAACTCTGGAATTCATTTTCCCATCAATGACAACAATCCGTCCAGGCCCTGAGGTAGCAAAGCAGCCCCAAACCATGATGCTCCCTCCGCCATGTTTTACAGTGGGTATGAGGTTTTGATGTTGGTGTGCTGTTCCTTTTTTTCTCCACACTTAGTGTTGTGTGTTCTTCCCAAACAACTCAATCTTGGTTTCATCTGTCCACAGTATATTTTGCTAGTAGTGCTGTGGATCATCCAGGTGCTCTTTTGCAAACTTCAAATGTGCAGCAATATTCTTTTTGGACAGCAATGGCTTCCTCCGTGGTGTCCTCCCATGTACTCCATTCTTGTTTAATGTGTTCCTTGTTGTAGATGTGTCAACAAAAATGTTAGCATGTGCCAGAGATTTCTGTAGGTCTTTAGCTGACACTCTGGGATTCTTCTTTACCTCATGCAGCATTCTGCGCTGTGCTCTTGCAGTCATTTTTATAGGATGACCACGCCTAGGGAGAGTAGCAACAGTGCTAAACTTTCTCCATTTGTAGACAGTCTGTCTTACCGTGGACACATGAACATCAAGGCTTTTGGAGATACTTTTGTAACCCTTTCCAGCTTCATGCAAGTCAACAATTCTTGATCGTAGGTCTTCTGAGAGCTCTTTTCTGCGAGGCATGGTTCACATCAGACAGTGCTTCTTGAAACCAGTAAACCCAAAACAGGTGTGTGGTTTTTAAGGGCAGGACAGTTGTCAGCAACACATCCAATATCATCACACTGATTGGAGTCAAGGTTGGCTCACTCCTGGCTCCAATTAGCTCTGGCAGAAGTCAGTAAGCTAGGGCCTCACATACTTTTTCCTCCCTGCACTGTGAATGTTTACATGTTATGTGCAATTAAACCATGGCAACATCTAACGTTTGTGTAGTATTATGTTCAGCAGACTGTGTTCTTCTATTGTTGTGACTTAGATGACGTTCAGAGCACATTTTTGCCCAATTCATGCAAAACTCCACGTAATCCCAAGGGGTTCACATACTTTTTCTTGCAACTGTATATAAATCTCCAAATCTCTTTGAGTGCAGGCTACGTTGAAGATACAAGTCAAGCCTTGATGAGGCGAGAGTGTGTGAACCCCCAAAATGTGTTGGCTCTGATTATCACTTTGCTTTCCAGCACCATTGCTTTGTTACCCCTACTGGTTTTCACATTTGGATTCTGTCTTCTGAATCAGGTACCCTTTTGTATTGGAGTGGCCTCACCAAGGTGATTTAGATTGTTAGATAAGACAGATGCTAGCAATAGAGATTCATAATTTCACATTTTGAGATTTGGTGCTTCTAATCCATGTACTCTGGGTTTACATTGCGGTCTGTGTCCCCGATGGGATGATTTGCCCTTTTATTTGTCCTAATGACCGTTCTTGCCAAGACGAAATGTAATAGAAGATCTGAAACACTACAAGTGTCATCAGAACAGCCATAGAGAGGACATCTTCCATTGAAGACACCTGACCATTATCTGCGGGGATTTCTCTCTCTTTGTAGAGATCTCTCACTTCTTGTCGTGTCTCTGGGACAGTGAAGGAAAATCTCCACGACAAGACCGTAAACAATAAACCGACAGAGGATTCTATCTTCCCTACTCTATCCAAGAGTTTTTGGCTATACAGTATATATACTTTAAAGTGGAACTACGCTGCCTCTGAGCACCACAAAAAATGCTATTCAATTCATTTTTAATAATCAAAGTGCGTTCTCCCATCCATCCATGTCTCCATACTTTTTTTTTTTCAAAGAAATCACTTTGAAGAATACCCTCCTAGCATTTCTGGCCCTGGTCATCTTAAAGCAGAGTTCCACCTGAAAAAAAAACAAAAGTCAGCTGCTACAAAAACTGTAGCTGCTGACTTTTAAAATAGAGACACTAACCTGTCCCTCGGTCCAGCGGTGTCCTCGCCACCGCTGGTTTCACTGGCCATATTCTCTCCTGGTGCCGGCATCTTCAGTGTGGGCATCCGGCTGTGACAGCCGGGTTCCCACTGCGCATGCGTGAGAAGTGCTGCGCTGTGTGAATGGCCCCGTAGTCCTCTGGGACCTGCCACATGTCCCAGAAGACTACGGGGAGGGAAGGGGGAGGACATCTTCCGCTTCCGATCGCCTGTCAAATTCGGGTACCTGTTCCCCCCCCCGCTCCCTAAAGGTGCCAATGGGGAGCAGGAGACAAAGGCTTAAAGCTGAACTTCCCCTTTTGGGTGGAGCTCCATTTTAAGTAAGGGCAGATGATTCATGTAGCATTTACTTCCTGGAATCAATCTGTCTTTAGCTCAGGCATCAAGACAGTAGGGTTTCCTTAGCTGAGAAAACCCAGCCTCTCCTCCTGAAGACTCCGGGGATAGATGACATCATTTGCCTAGGCCTGGAAACCAGAGAGTAACTGAAGAAATGTAAGAAAAAAAAAAAAAAAAGTTTAAAACAAGTAAATATGATATACTTTCCTATCTATTTGCTAATGCTAGCAGCATAAGGATTAAAATAGTCCATGTTGATTGAGAGAGTGAAGTTCTGCTTTACCCCCCCGGGTCACATCAAGCCCGACTTTGAAATCGTGTGACTTACAGTGAAGTCGCACAATTTCAAAGTTGGGGGACATGCCGATATCAGGTGCGATTTGCAGGACATCTGAAATGGATGTCTATGCAAATCGCACAAAAAGTAGCGCATGTACTACTTTAGAAATTGGTGCGGCTCCGACCAATTCGGAACCACACCGATTTGACCACTGTAATTTTAGATAGTAGGGTGTGACGTGGCATACGATTTGCAAATCACATGCCATGTCGCACGCAGTGTGATCGGGGTGTAAAGCTCAGAACATTCTAAGTTGTGTGGCAACTTTCAGGGTACTTAGCATTGTTTGACTCAAACTGAGCCTTATCAAGTCTGAAACCTTAAAGGCATCCATTCTGCATATGAGCATTCAATGCAAGGAGTTCATTATTGGTCTGAGACTTGTCTTCTGTGCCCTTTAATATAATTACATTTTGTTTCTGGGGCCTGACTTTTCTTGACTTTATGGCAGAACTCTGCCATCTCCATATCACAGAATGGTCATTGGCCACTGACAGTCTCACCAAGCAGGGTTTAGCCATGAAGCCAGCAGACTTTAGGCCCCAATAACAAAGGTGACACCAAATCTGAGAGCAGGGGCGGACTGACCATTTGGAAACTCGGGCACTGCCCGAGGTCAGTAGGGGGCCCCATGAGATGCCCCTGGTACCTTTTTCATAGGCTTTTTTGAGTTTTGGCAAGGACACAGGGGCCCCATGATCCCCTATTGCCCGGGGGCCCCGTGAGTTGTCAGTCTGCCCATGTCCCAGAGGTACACCGAAGCTGCCTTTTTGGGTATCAAAGATCACAGTAGGTGTGTTGTGATACCTGCCTTGGCACTATTACTTTTAAAATTATAAAATGAAGCACAGGTTCTCTTTGAAGCACACTCAAACCCAAGAACAAAAATTATTGACTAATACAAAAAGTAATACATTGCAGCTGACCAGGCAATAGATGTAGTGACTGCATGTAGTTTTTCTTTTTCTGTTTTTTCCCCCCCTGGGGATCCTGCCAGTGACCCACTTCCTGTTCTAGGGTGACAACACTCACTCATTGCACTGTATCTGCATAAAATCAGCTTTGTTACTCTAGGAAAGAAAATGTGTTAGGACTACAGAACACTTCCCCAGCCTCATTACATTATTGGTCCGCCTGCCTTTACATGAACTTTAATGGCATCCCAGTCTTAGTCTGTAGAGTTCAATATTGAGTTGGCCCCGCCCTTTGCAGCTATAACAGCTTCATCTCTTCTGGGAAGGCCGTCCACAAGGTTTAGGAGGGTGTCTATGGGAAGGTTTGACCATTCTTCCAGAAGCACATTTGTGAGGTCAGGCACTGATGTCGGGGGAGGAGGCCTGGCTCACAGTCTCCACTCTGATTCATCCCAAAGGTGTTCTATGGGGTTGAGGTCAGGACTCTGTGCAGGACAGTCAAGTTCCTCCACCCCAAACTCACTCCTCCATGTCTTTATGGACCTTGCTTTATGCACTGGTGGGCAGTCATGTTGGAACAGGAAGGGGCCATCCCCAAACTCTTCCCACAAAGTTGGGAGCATAAAATTATCCATAATGTCTTGGTATGCTGACGCCTTAAGAGTTCTCTTCACTGGAACTAGGGGGCCAAGCCCAACCCCTGAAAAACAATCCCACATCATAATCCTCCCTCCACCAAACTTTACACTTGGCACAATGTAGTCAGGCAAGTACTGTTCTGGCAATCGCCAAACCCAGATACATCTATCGGATTGCCAGACAGAGAAAAGTGATTGGTCACTCCAGAGAACACATCTCCACTGCTTTAGAGTCCAGTGGCGGCGTGCTTCACACCACTGCATTGCACTTGGTGATGTAAGGCTTGGATGCAGCTGCTCGGCCATGGAAACCCATTCCATGAAGCTCTCTACACACTGTTGTTGTGCTCATCTGAAGACCACATGAAGTTTGGAGGTCTTTAGCTATTGACTCTGCAGATAGTTGGTGACTTCTGCACACTGCGCACTTCAGCATGCACTGACCCCACTGTCATTTTACGTGGCCTACCACTTGGTGGCTGAGTTGCTGTTGTTCCCAGTTGCTTCCACTTTGTTATAATCCCACTAACAGTTGACCGTGGAATATTTAGTAGCCAGGAAATGTCACGGATGGACTTATTGCACAGGTGGACACCTATCACAGGACCACGCTTGGAGTCATTGAGCTCCTGAGAGCGACCCATTCTTTCACCAATCTTTGTAGAAGCAGTCTGCATGCCTAGGGGCTTGATTTTATACATCTGTGGCCATGGAGGGGATTGGAACACCTGAATCACATGATTGGGAGGGCGGGGTTAATACTTTTGGCAATATAGTATATGTGGGAGGTGTTCTGTGGTTCAGAGATCAAACCAGGCGGGCTGATAATACTGACAAGGTAACACTGGATTACTGGCAGGATCAACCTGTAATTTTTCCACTTACAGAACAGATTTAGCAAAATGCTTTAAATTATCTATTTAGCAGACCAAAGGGGAGCAAATAAGGGAAGTTCATTGTTGGGGCTGAAGTGACCCCCTGGTGACCAGAGACTTTTGAAGCTTAGATGCTCAGAGCATTGGCATACAATGGTAGAAGGGTCAAGGCTCCAAAATGGAAGCAATGTGTGGTCAGCAGAGACAGCATTTTTATTTTAAATAAGATTTTAAAAAAGCTGATCGTTGTAAGCACCCCTGTCAGTGTTCAATGACTAATTCCATCCCTGTAAACTGATACATGTGGAAAAGAGCTTGTTCTTTAGAAAAACAGCAGACTTACTGGCTGGATCACCAGATGAAAATAGAAAGAATGCCTAAAAAAGAAAACAAATGCAGCCAGCTGAGGATTGGTAAGCTGCAATATAATAAATGTTTGCTTTTGGGGTTTAATACTGCTTAAAGAACCTGATATATGTTGAAGCAATCGGATCCATACTTGCTAATATTACCAGTCCGTATGAGAGCTCCTGCCTGTCCGCATTCGCAGTCCTCCTACAGCTCTAGTCTGGAAATGAAGCTGCTGGGGAGAAGAGCAAGGCCCACAGGTTGTATGGATCTGGGAATACTCTTCACACCGAAATGTTTCCATCAAACTCTAAGAAGTACAGGGGGGCGGTGAGGGGACCGGGCCCTGTGCAGGCAAGGAGAAGGCAAACCTGTCCGGTCCCCACAACAGGAAATAGGAATGACAATGAAAGGAAGCAGTGACTATGAATGAGGATATGGCGGTATGTCACATAACAGGTTTATATTGAAGGCTCATAGGAATGAGGTGCCATGTTGCCAATGCACAGACTGATATGAATACTGATTTTTAGCAACTCCCATCCCCCCTTCTAATAATGGCTGGTATAAAAAAAAGACACAAATGTCCATTTTATTTATGTTTAGGGTTACATTTTATTTAGCACATCTTTATATTGAAACAGAGCAATTATGCAAAGCAGCAATTAACATTTATTTAATTCTATTTTATTTTTACCAACATGACTACATATAAAATATTCAGATAAACAAATTCTTGTCTCCGCCTTATTTAGCCATTATTAGTTTTTAACCACCTGACCGTGCTCAAGATGGTCTAGTTCTGGGAGAACAGCTATAGATGTCCTCCCAGAACCCCCCCCCCCCCGGGCGCGCTCTGTGATCACTGTGTCCTTTGGTCACAGATCGAGGTAAAGGGCCAATCACAACGGCCCTTTACCATGTGATAAGCTGTGTCCAATCACACAAGCTGTCACTGGAAAGGGAAAGCAATAACCAACAATCCTGGCAGTACACATTTACACTGATTATCATTGCACTTGGTGGTGTAAGGCTTGGATGCAGCTGCTCGGCCATGGAAACCCATTCCATGAAGCTCTCTATGCACTGTTGTTGGGCTCATCTGAAGGCCACATGAAGTTTGGAGGTGTTTAGTTATTGACTCTGCAGACAGTTGGGTGACTTCTGCGCACTGTGCGCTTCAGCATGCACTGACCCCACTCTGTAATTTTACATGGCCTACCACTTGGTGGCTGAGTTGCTGTTGTTCCCAGTTGCTTCCAGTTTGTTATAATACCACTAACAGTTGACTGTGGAATATTTCGTAGCCAGGAAATGTCACGGATGGATTTATTGCACTGGTGGCCACCTATCACAGGACCAAGCTTGGAGTCACTGAGCTCCTGAGAGCGACCCATTCTTTCACCAATGTTTGTAGAAGCAGTCTGCATGCCTAGGGGCTTGATTTTATACACCTGTGACCATTGAGGGGATTGGAACACCTGAATCACATGATTGGGAGGGCGGGGCCAATACTTTTGGCAATATAGTATATGTGGGAGCTGTTCTGTGGTTCAGAGATCAAATTAGGCAGGGCTGATAATACTGACAAGGTAACACTGGATTACTGGCAGGATCAACCTGTAATTTTTCTGCTTACAGAACAGATTGAGCAAAATGCTTTAAATTATATAAATTATCAGTGCAGCCCCATCATTGTAGCTTATTAGTGTTCATCAGTGCCCACCAGTGCAGGCTCATCAGTGAAAAAGAAAAACCACTTATTTGCAAAATGATAACACAAACTAAGAAAAACCTCCAGTCTTTTCTTGTTTAATTAGCAAAAATTTAAAAAAACTCAGTGGTGATTAAATACCACCTAATGAAATTTCTGGCTCAAAAAAATGATAAAAATTTCATATGGGTACAGTGTTGCATGGCCGTGCAATTGTAAGTGTTACAGCGCTGAAAGCTAAACATTGGACTGGCCAGGAAGGCGGTGAAAGTGCCGGTATTGGAGTGGTTAATTAATGTAATGATTACTACTGAAAATACTTTAGACATATAGTGGAGCAGAGTGGGGGATGGGTAGAAGGGGTAAAATATTTTGCCCCGGGTGCCTCCTACACTAGGTATTGTATGCCACAGGGTCAGATTTGGTTGACTCTTGGAGAAAAACAGAACATTGAACATTTCTGTACACAGTGTTGAATGTCAGTCTAAATCTTACATTGTAGTAAACTGGCTCCACTTTACAGTCTGGAGAATATTAATTACCAATATGCAGAAGAAAGTCCTGTGTAATGCAATAATGAAAATTCCCTCCAATTGTCTTTATGCTCCAAAGCAGAACACTACCATGCTATGGGCTGAGCAGATAACTACCTCCTTGGATCTGATCCTTGGTGTTATTATAACGAGGCTTGGGAGATATTTCTGAGTTGGTATCACTCTATCAGTGATTGCACTGGGGCTGTGATTAGTGTGTAGACAGGTGCAAGTCCCCCTCTGTTCTATAGGTGGCCCTGTGTCATTATCACAGATGGAGTGGAGTCTTTTGGGGGAATTGTCCCCTAGGGCAGTCTTTCCCAACCACCTGATACTCTGACACCCTAATCTAGTGGAACCTATTACCTTCAGAAGTCACCTAAATTAGTAAATCTAGTTCACCTGTATATAATTTAATCTCAGTATAAATACAGCTGTTCTGTAAAGCCCTTAGAGCAAGGGTGTCAAACTGGCGACCCTCCAGCTGCTGCAAAACTGCAAGTCCCATCATGCCTCTGCCTTTGGGAGTCATGTTTGTAGCTGTCAATCTTGCAATGCCTCATGGCACTTGTAGTTTGGCAACAGCTGGAGGGCTGCCAGTTTGACTCCTGTGCCTTAGAGGTTTGTTGGAGAACATTGGTGAACAAACAGCATCATGAAAGCAAAGGAACACACCAGACAGGTCAGTGATAAAAAGTGAAGAAGTTTAAAGCAGGGTCAAGTTATAAACAAAGTATCCTAAGCTTTGAACATCTCACGGAGCACTGTTCAATCCATCATCTGAAAATGGAAAGAGTATGGCACAACTGCAAACCTACCAAGACTTGGCCGTCCACCTCAACTGGCAGACCGGCAAGGCAAGGAGAGCATTAATTAGGGAAAAAAGCCAAGAGGCCCATGGTAACTCTGGAGGAGCTGCAGAGATCCACATCTCAGGTGGGAGAATCTGTTAACAGGACAACTATTAGTCGTGCACTCCACAAATCTGGTCTTTATGGAAGAGCGGCAAGAGGAAAGCCATTGTTGAAAGAAAGCCATAGGAAGTCCCGTTTGAAGTTTGTGAGAAGCCATGTGGGGGACACGGCAAACGTGGAAGAAGGTGCTCTGGTCAGATGAGACCAAAATTTAACTTTTTGGCCTAAAGGCAAAACACTATGGGTGGTGGAAAACTAACACCGAACATCACCCTGAACACACCAATTCCACCGTGAAACGTGGTGGCAGCATCATGTTGTGGGAATTCTTTTCTTCAGAATGGACAGGGAAGCTAGTAAGAGTTGATGGGAAGATGGATGGAGCCAAATACAGGGCAATCTTAGAAGAAAACTTGAGACTGGGGCAGAGGTTAACCTTCCAGCAGGACAATGGCCCTAAACATACAGCCAGAGCTACAATGGAATGGTTTGGATCAAAGCATATTCATGTCTTAGAATGGCCCAGTCAAAGTCCAGACCTAAATCCAATTGAGAATCTGTGGCAAGACTTGAAAATTGCTGTTCATAGACGCTCTCCATCCAATCTGACAGAGCTTGAGCTATTCTGCAAAGAAGAATGGGCAAACATTTCCCTCTCTAGATGTGCAAAGCTGGTAAAGACAACCCCAAAAAGACTTGCAGCTGGAATTGCAGAGAAAGGGGGTTCTACAAAGTATTGACTCCAGGGGGCTGAATACAAATATATGCCACACTAATCACAGATTTATTTGTAAAAAATGTTGAAAACCCTTTATTATTTTCCTTCCATTTCACAATTATGTGATCACTTTGTGTTGGTCTATCACATAAAATTCCAATAAAATACATTTGCGATTTTGGTTGTAACATGATATAAGGTGGAAAATGTCTAGAGGTATGAATACTTTTTCTAGGCAATGTAAGAAGCCAATGGGTGATTCATCTTGATAGATTTCAAAAGAAATAGAAATACAATGTTTGGCTGGTCTCAGCTTTTACAGCAGGATCAAACAGCTTGTGGATTGTGATCTACTTGTCGCTTGCGGACATGTGATGGGTAGATTGCAGCCAACCTTGTGCCGTCCGCTCCTATTTGGATGGACAGATGATTGGGAAGGAACTAATTTCCATGCAAAGGGACTTCTGGGACTTGCCCTCCTCTACTCCTGCCCACAAGCCAGGGCTGTTGTTTCAGGAGCTGGGTGCCACCCTCTCCAAAGATTGCAGTGCCCAACTGCCAAACCTTGCCCTCGAGCACCCAGCCAGTGCTTTTTCATGAGCCAGGCACCCCTCCTTCATGTGTAGCTGTTTCAAGGTGATAGTTTCCTACCCTGAACTATAAAAGAATGCATTCTAGTTGTCACCTTCCCCCGTCTGTACACAGTAGCTGCCCCCTCCTGGGTTATTCCTGAACAGGAGGCATGGATCACATGTCTCTGTGGTAGACTGAGCATTGTTCATCCATACACTGCTTCCCCGCTACTTACTCCTGACCCCTTCAATGTGTGTTACATAGGACTGATCTCTGCATTACTTACTCCTGACCCCTTCAATGTGTGTTACATAGGACTGATCTCTGCATTACTTACTCCTGACCCCTTCAATGTGTGTTACACATGACTGATCTCTGCATTACTTACTCCTGACCCCTTCAATGTCTGTTACATATGACTGATCTCTGCATTACTTACTCCTGACCCCTTCAATGTGTGTTACATATGACTGATCTCTGCATTAATTACTCCTTACCGCTGCTCTCAACATTTCTTTACTGCTGAACCCTGAACTTTGCGTTACTTAATAATGACCCCTTAACTCTTCAAATCTTCCATACTATTCAAAGTCACCTTGCTATATTGTTTCCTTTAACCAAAAAAAAAGTGCACTGCACCCTGGTGATCTTTGATCGCTACTGTTATTCAGGTAGATCTTGTACCATTCAGGTGTATACCTTTCAGCGTTATTGTAAAATGGAAAATGGGGTATATTAAAGGCTACTCCTCCCCTAACATATTTCTCTATTTTGGCAGCTTTGGGCCAGGGTTTTATTCTTCGTCAGTCACAGTGAAGGGGAAAATATATATATAAAAATATAAACTAAAATATACACAGGTCCATATATATTTGGACACAGGCATAATTTTCATACTTTTGACTCTGTATGCCACCAGAATAAATTAAAACAAAACAATCCAAATGAATTCAAAGTGCAGACTTTCAGCTTTAATTCAAGGGCTTGAACATGAATATCAAGTACAAATTTTAGGAACAGCAACCATTTTTATACATAGTCCCTTCATTTTCAGGGGCTCAAATGTAATTGGCCAAATAAATATAATCATAAATAAAATGTTCATTTTTAATATTTTGTTGGTAATCCTTTACTGGCAGTGACTGCCTGAAGTCTGGAGCCCATTACCAAAGACTGGGTTTCCTCCTTTCTGATGCTTTGCCAGGTTCTAATTGCAGCTGTCTTCAATTGTTCTTTGTTTGTGGGTCTTTCTGCCTTTAGTTTTGCCTTCAGCAAGTGAAATGCATGCTGAATTGGGTTGAGATCAGGTGATTGACTCAGCCATTGCAGAATATTCCACTTCCTTTTTTTTCAAAAGCTCCTGGGTTGGTTTTGCAGTGTGTTTTGGATCATTGTCCATCTGTACTGTGAAGCACCGTCCAGTCAACTTTGCTGCATTTTGCTGAATCTGGGCTCACAATAGATCTTTAAACACTGCAGAACTCATCTGGCTGCTTCTATCTTCTGTCACATCATCAATAAACACCAATGACCCAGTGCCACTGGAAGCCATGTATTCCCATGCCATCACACTGCCTCCACCATGCTTTACAGATGACATTGTGTGCTTTGGATCATGAGCTGTTTCAAGCCTTCTCCACAATTTTCTCTTCCCGTCATTCCAGTACAGATTCATCTTAGTTTCATCCATCCAAAGAATGCTTTTTCCAGAACTGGTCTGGCTTTTTTTAGATTTTTTTTGGCAAAGTCTAATCTGGCTTTTCTATTCTCCAGGCTTATGAATGGTTTGCACCTTGTGGTGAACCCTCTGTATTTGCTCTCGTGAAGTTTTCTCTTGAATGTAGACTTTGACAATGATACGCCCACCTCCCAGAGAGTGTCCTTCACTTGTCTGAATGTTGTGAATGGGTTTTTCTTTACCATAGAGAGGATCCTGCGATCATCCACCACTGTTGTCTTCCGTGGACTTCCATTCCTTTTTATGTTG